GCCTGCTTTGACTGAGATTGGGTCTGGTGTCACACGTATCGGCCTCACAGGTCCCGTGTTGTTAGTGACTTCATCAACCAAACGGGGATCACCAGAATGCATCTTCCCGAGGCAAGAGAGTAAACTGACTTTAAAAGTCCAGTTTCCACCCTTGCCGAACTCGACTGGAATTACTGGGCTCGATCGTAGCGCCACCAGTGGCTATTACCAGGTATGTCCCCTATAAGCCTCTCCTATGGACCAATCAGATTCCACCTGTCGTATCACTTGCGTTTGTTTCACAAAAAATGGTGGCGCCCAGTCAGGACGATCTGATCGATAATCGAGATCTATATTGTGATAAAACGGGTCTTACATCGCGAAATGCATCAAATCACGTGAGCACCTTGATTAAAAACGTGAAAAGATTTGGAAAATATCTGCTGAGTTGGCGGTGCACATGCTTTGAAAATCCTGCAATCGACCGAAATCTGCACGACAGTTTACGAACCGGATTTCGATTTCGGTGCGCGATTTACATTGGACTATGCATAGATTCGTTAGTCCAGCCAAAAATAACTCCATAATACCAGCCTAGTTCGGCAAGGGTGGAAACTGGCCTTTTATAGTCAGTTAACTCTCTTGCCTCGGGAAGATGCCAGAATGCAGTGGCCCCTGCCTATTACCCAGATCTGGCACCGATAGAACACCCGTGGGGCGGATAAGAACGACGTTTGCGTGCAAATCCCGTCCCCCTGTCAACCTGCAACATATTCGTCCAGTCTCGGCAATCTGAGTTGCAAGCATTACCTCAGTTCCCGCTCGTCCAGTGTCGGCAATCTGAGTTGCAAGCACTGCCTCAGCCAAACTTTTGTCAGGTCCATGAGACAGCAGTGCAGAGACTTCCGTGCCAGGGATGATCGTCACGTTACTGACACCTCTGTCATTCATGTGACCTTATGACATGACACTACTGGTTATGAAGGCGATATCTAGGTTACCGTGTTCACAGATGTGACCACCCTATGGCTATACTTCATCGCTTTTTGATGCATTATATTAAAATCATCATTTTCTGTCGATTGTATTTTGTATTGGTTTCCCATACAAAAGACCTGAGTGTTCCCAATCTTGTGTATATGAGTGTATATCCCCACACTACCTTAAAAATGAATGTAATAATCTTGATGATCACTCAATGATTGCATTATTGTATGTTTCTATATTTTAGCCTAGCATTAGCATGTAGATCTATTAATGTTTTTAGGGTCATGAGAATTTCAGAATATGTTGCCGAACTACTTTTATATGTCTATGAACCTCTACTTGATAACAGTGCCAGTGGTCCACGAGTACTCACGTGTAAATACATTGCTGACTGTCTGTTTCCTGTTTCCTTCAATGCAAACCTGTTCAATAAGGTTTATTTGATTGTAAAGGTACGTTTTCAAAGCATGAATATAAGTATTAATAATAACTAATATTTCATAGGTCAGCTACAGGAGCGTAGGCCAGCTACATTCAGTATCATTGTTAGCATCATTTTCCAAATGATAAGTTAAAAAATCCATACTCTCGTGTGCTCTTTAACATCAAATATTGTTGATGGTTGTGGGCAATGAACGGTCAGCCCTTTCAAGCCCAGTAAAGTATCATTTAAAAGGGTAATATCTGTATCTTTGTACGTCCATAGTGTATCATGTGACAATAGTTTATTTATGTGTGATAGGTGTCATTTCCTTATCACTGGAAAATGCATTAATGGTGGAGACCAACCACTCCGTTCTGTTGATATCTGAAAATAATCATGAGAACATTGAATAATCTTCAAGATACGCTAGATTCACTTTCGTGATCAACCATTCGATACTCTGGGGCTGGGGGTGGGGTGGGATGGACGTACAGTAGGGTAATGGAGTCGTGGATTATTTTGTTAACGTACAAGATAAGTTTAGAAATGCGAGAAAACATTAATTTAACACCAGGATTTGTCAACAACAAAAAAGTTACCAAAGAATGTGTTTGGTTCTCGTTTCAGAGAAAAATATGTACATGTATATGTCTTCAAGTACAGGAGCGGTCGGGTAGCCATGTGGTTAAAGCTCATTTCTGGTGTCCCCCGCCGTGATATTGCTGGAATATTGCTAAAAGCGGCGTAAAACCATACTCACTCACTCACTTCAAGCACAGACAGGAAAAAATATTGTCTGAAACGAAACTCCACAGAAAAATCCAAAGTTGATTACGATTGTCCTTAAATCCTAAATCAGAGATGATAGTGCGTTTTCCTACAAATTCAGGATTTTGTGAATAATGTTTGATTTCATTTTGCATGATTTCGTCAGTTCCGTATCACTATCATTGTTTCGTGTCCTTCACCGTACGTGGGTCAACAACTAACAGACATTTATCTATCGAAGTGTGGTCGATCTAAAAATTGCGCAGCTTCTAGGGTATGACAATATAAATAAATACGTGTGTAAATACGTTCATGTGCGCGTGTGTGTGTCTATGTGTGTCTGTCTGTGTGTGTATGTGTGTCTGTGTGTGTGTGTGTGTGTGTACCATTCTAGATGCGTGTCTGTGTGTGTGTGTCTGTCTGTGTCTGTGTCTCTGTCTGTGTCTGTGTGTGTGTGTATCTGTGTCTGTGTGTCTGTCTGTGTGTCTGTGTCTCTGTGAGTGTGTCTCTGTGAGTGTGTGTCTGTCTGTGTGTGTGTCTGTCTCTGTGTGTGTGTCTGTCTGTGTGTGTGTCTGTCTCTGTGTGTGTGTCTGTGTGTGTGTGTCTGTGTGTGTCTGTGTGTGTGTCTGTGTGTCAGCAACCATGGGGACAGTCTGATATACCATTCAAGATGTTTTTACTGAGGTACCAAAACGCGCTGAATGGAAAGACAAATACTCATTTAGGAGGAACCACTGAGGGAATTATCAGGTTATCTATGACGTTATCACGTCACGATATCAAGTTTTGACGTCACAATTGGATAAATCTTACTTTTACAGGCGTGATTACAGTTAACCGTACATTTCTTTCTGTACCTACTCTGGGGACAATGTTTACATTTTCTAGGTACATTGAAGTGAGACTCACTCTCATGTTCCAGATCATGAAAGCTTAATCAAAAAAGAGAAAGAGCAATTTTTAATTTGCTTTGAGTTACGAAGTTCAAGCCGTTTTCACAATTGATAGAAAATAATATACATTTTGCGTAAAAGGACATTTTTGGACTTGCAAGTAAAATTAATCACTCTGCCAAATGTGCCAGAAGTTGTCGTTTACACGTTGTTAAACCATACATTTTAAATAACCACATATCTCCAAACCCTTATCTAATTGATGTTCCTAATTAATTATCTAATTGTGATTTATTTGGCTTCCTCATCGCGTGTTCTCTGCCCACCATGCTGTTACAGTATCATCATTCTGTTGTTATCACCAGTAGTGGATTCTTAATATTGTGACAGTACCCTCCAATATCTGGACCTGGTGAGTTGGTCAACATACTTAACGTGTATGACTCTTGCTCAGAACTTGTTTGATCGGGGTTACAACATTTAAAGCTTCAAAATGTTTTATGGTAGACATGGGGAGGACATTTCCAAATTTGATGCATCCGTGAAAAAAATGATGTCCGATGCAATTCACTATTTTGACTTGTACCATATGTTCCCATGTGTTTTCAGGTGAACAATTGACTTGCCTTTGCAGGGGGCAGAATACACTCACCTTTTTGCGAACGCCTGGCATCATTACTATTTGATAGTGCTTCATAAACACATGCCGCCTCCGTGGTCTAGTGGTAGGGCGTCCGCCCGGAGAGCGGAAGGTCCGGGGTTCGATCCCCAGCCGCGTCATACCAAAAGACGTTAAAAGATGGTACTTGTTGTTACCCTGTCTGGCGCTCGGCATTAAGGGGCTAAAACAAGGACTGGTCGGCTCGGGGTCAGTATACTGTGTCTGAGTGGGGTATTCATGTTAAACTGCGGCATGGTATCTCAGTGGGCTAGCACTAAAATCGGCATCAGTCTGGACTAGTACAAGCAGCCACACAAACACACACACACACACGTGCATGCACGTCGCTATATAAGTGCAATAATCTTGGACGCAACGTTAAACCCCATTTCACCTCACCTCATAAACACATCCTCATGATATAGTCGTAATCGTATAATCGACTCTGCTGTAAGCAGAGATTTCTATTTTCTATATGGAAAGGGTTATGTTGTTTTATCTACAGTACTATGTGTTTTTGGGTAACATTAAGAACTGATTGATGTGACTGAATTACTATGAATTTGTTTAAATGTTGTATAACGCTGCAGTAAGGATTATTCCAGCTATGTGACAGTAAATTGTAAAACGTCAGGACAAGACAACGTTATATGCTGAAAGGTTTCGATGACACATACTCAACCAAGCCAATGATCCAAAATAACAAAACTCACCACGTTATCCCCTAATTATTATATCTACCAAGTTTGGATGAAAATCTTGAATATTTTTTTTCACATTCTGCTCAAGAAACAACATCTTACCTCGTTTCAGCTGTGTCTAACTTGTTTCCTTGAAAACAGGAAAAACTAACATTCTTAAAATTCCCACCACTTCAGGCCCTAGTGAATAATTGTACCTAGTTTGGATGAAAAGTCTTTCACAGTTTTCAAGTCATGCACCGGAAACGAAATATGGATGCATGTACGGACAGACAGACCTGATGGTGACTACCGGTATTTATCCCCCTGCATTATATGCCGGGTCTCTTTATTTGATGAAAAACATAAAGTAGCTAGATTGACACGCTTGATTCTTTGTTATATATTGTCTAACAAGCGAGTTGCTGCATTTTGAAAACCCCAAACAGTGAATACACATTTACAGAGCAGTAAACACTGTTGCAGCAAAACACACTTCACCCGTAAAGTATTATGTGTGAATACCCCACACGATCACAGGTCAGGGATATTTCGTGGATATTCCATGTTTCGAGATCTCATATAGGATACACAAGGAGAAAATAATATTTCGTTGTGAGTGTGTTTATTATTAGCATAACAACGTACACATGCAAACATGTACAGATAACAAGACGCCTTGGTGGCTGGTGACTACAAGATGACACTGTGTGTGCAAATACACTCAATATTCTACTCCAGTCAGTGAAGCTATAGAGAATAAGTGCTGTTGTGTTACCCTGGTGTTAAATTCAAGGTGTTTAACTGAAGCTAGGTAGGAAACATTGTACTGACTATAGTTAGGTATGGATCAGGGACGTGCATCCGACTGTGACAACATGCTGTAACGCAGTAGATCCTGGAGAGACGGTCAAACTAACCAACATAGTCTCAAGGTACAGGAACCCACTGGAGACACCCTGTCAGATCAGAACAATGACAGGAGTAACATTTGTAAACATTCTTTGTAAATATTTCATAAAACATACAACATATTTTTCCAGGATATTATCACAATTCTGTAGCATAGGAAAATGCAAATATTCTAAATGTAGTTTGCCTTGTGCAGCAGTCAATGTACCACATGGATATTTGAGAATCAATACAATCTTGCTTGACAGTCTTGCTTGACAACGGTATAAGGATCCATACCGAACGTCACTTTTTACAGTATTAAAGAAGTTGTTATCCATAAAATTTTGTCTACCTTGTCATCCGTCTACTTCTAAGTAATGCCTATCAAACAATTTAATACAATCCCTGCTGGCTACACTAGAACAAACACGATCCACACACACCATTGTTAAAGGGGAAGTGTACACGCAAAAATCACTTTCTTTCTTGTTTTAAACTAAACGCAATTTTAGAATTAGTTGAAAAAATACACTCATTTTTCTCACAGTCAATGTAGCGAGCTCACAATAAGTGTGAAAATGTCATGCCGTTATGAGGCCTTCGTTTACCGAGCTAAACAGGCCTGAGTTATCCCCCTTAAAGTCTTATGACGTCATTCCTTTATCAATTGGCACCAATGACGTCATATTGCAAGGGGCATAAGCCATGGTGTGTTTATTATGGAGATAGAACTCTCTGTAAATGTGAAAAATATGAACCGATTTTATGAATAAAATAAATTTGATACATGTGATATTTTAATTGTTTTGCCTCCGAAACTATTAGGTAAATAATTTTCATGATGAAAAAGTACAAGAAAAATAGGTTTATTTTCGTGTGAACTTGCCCTTTAAGTATGTTAGAGCCAGAAACCTTCACAATGAGTTTGTGCTAACGGACACCATAAAAAACAAACCTGACGCTGTCAATATGATCAGTCAAGATGCCAAGGCACAGCCATCTTCATTCACAGGATAAATATATCGAAAGTACCAACAAGGAAAAATGTTACAATTACAATTTCATAACAAGAAGAAAATATCACAGTGTTTTCCCCGCTAAATACCTGGGGATAAAAGTTAATAACAGCTGCACATCCTCATGGTTTGTGCTCAACAGTTGGCTTGTTTGTTGTTTAACGCCCGCACTCTGCAATATTCCAGCTACATGACGGCGGTCTGTAAATAATCGAGTCTGGACCAGACAATCCAGTGATTAATATCATCAGCATCGATCCACGCAATTGTGTTCGATGACATGCATCAACCAAGTCAGCGAGCCTGACCACCCGATCCCGTTAATCGCCCCTTACGACAAGCATAGTCACCTATTAAGGCAAGCATGGGTTGCTGAAGACCTTTTCTACCCCGGATCTTCACGGGTCTGCTCAACAGATAAACTGTATCTCATTCCTTTTGGAAATAAATTGAAGTCAGTAGGGAGTTACAAATGAGACCTATGTTCTGGACAGTGATGGTTGTCTGTTATTGATGAGTGGACAATTTATTCCTTGGTCGTCTCAAGAGTGACCGTTATTCATTACAGACTTCACAACACCAGAAGTCACAGGCTGCATTAGAACACAGACCTAGGTTGACATCTTTGCATAGATTTATTACCAGTCAATAAATCTGACAAAAATAACATATTAAAACCATGCACGATCAAAGATAACATGGCCACAGGTGTACATACCATTCACTTCCTCAATATCATCCAATTTGGGTAGTTATAAACATGTAGATATGCCTGTTTTCAAAATGAATTCTGTTACATCTTTCAAAGACTTCATCCCCTATACCAGAACAAACATAATCAAACATTTGATATGGATGCATTTAGTTGTCTGTCAATGGCATTCCATCTGTATTTAGGCCAGGTGCTTTATATTTTTCGGATTACGGACCGCGGACTCTAATTTTTGAGAAAATGTAAAAAAATATAATCAGATTTCCATTTTTTTTTCCCCGATAGCCACGTAGTCAGTTATTTTATTTGTTATCATCACCTTTTAATAAAAAACATATGAATTTACCGTTGTAAACTAGTAAAAAAGATACATAATCGATCTTTGTTGATCTCGAAGCCGAACTTGAATAGCCTCCCTTGACAATTGTCATTGTTGTAAGGGATAGAATTTTTATTGTTACAAGGGGCTTTATCGTCACAAATGGTGGTCTTTTGAGCACAGAATATGTTTATAAAGTATGCCAGAGGCATTCTGCATTTAAAAAATGCATCTGGCTTTTCTTTTGTTTTTCCATCCTCCAACCCTGGACTTTGGGCTGAAAAATCCGTAATCCTAAAATTATAAAAAGCCTGGCCTTAGTACTGTTTACCTGGGCTGTATCAACAGAGAGGGGATCAACTTACGAAAATAGCGGACGGTTTTCATTGTGCCCATGTATGGGGTCTACCGACCTCTGACCTGTGACCTCTGACATCTGACCAGATGAGCCATGTACATTATCACAGACACATACCATAGAAACGATGGTTACCTAAGACACTACGTGAAGTTTCAAATAAGATGGAGAAGACACACATCTAATTCAAAATGCATTGATATGACGCCATGGACTTGATAGTTCCTCCCGGCACCTGTACAAGGCAACTTGTTGAAAATGTTTTCAAACATAACAGGTATTAAAAAATACTAATACTTTTAATAATTTGTGTTCATAGGATTTTCGGTAACATATTGAAAACAAGGTGTCAGATTATATGTTATCTGTATGAACTGGCAATACTGATAGCAATACAAATATGATCATTACAAATATTAAAATATTTATCGTACGTTTTTCAATAATGGCACATATAGAAAGTCTTTGTCATAAACTATCTATTTTCAATCTCATTAAGATCAGATCTTAGTTCTCGCTACCGCTAAACAAAGATCTGAAGACATCCCATTAGGGGTCACGTCAGAACAACCTTTCATCCGACCAATCAGAGTGTTGCTTACCAGATCATGAAAGTGACAGTCGGTATGTGGTTTCTAATCATGCAACCTCGAAAAAATGTAACACAGGGGTATTCCGAACGATAGTTACGGGTTTAACGACTGAATCAATACAATCTAGACCACATATCTGCCATTCAAGAATGTTCTTTTGTTCAGGTTTCAAATTTTTAATCGAGAATTTGTCAAAATATGTTTTGAAGCGTGGTCGCCAATTCAAAATCAGTGCCATAAAGCACGAGAAAGCTGCCTTCTGATTGGCTAATGTTGACTTCTTATCAGTCCTTCCATTGGTCGGTCAAAATTCGGGCAAGGTCTGTGTGACGTGACCTGTAATGGGATGTCCTCAGATCTTTGTTTAGCGATAGCGAGAACTAAGATCTGATTTTAATGGGACTGAATTCTTTTTAGATATGATATTACAAGTCAAAACTTTACAGTCTCCAAGGTGTTATTATCAATGCATTGATAATGTTGATTCATCTTGATATTTTGGAGTCTAATATCAATTCATAAACTTCAGTCACAGCCATAATAAATAAATGCTGAATTATTCAAGAACTATTCTGAGATGTCGTTCCACTGTGACAACTTCATCCTTTCCCGACCGGTGGAGACACTCATTTCTCGTACGTAGTGTGCGTTGTCCCACCCCCGATGTACCTGTCTCCGCAGCGCCATGTAGGGCATGTGGGTCTTCGGAATGGATGGACTGGGAATGAAATCATTCTCTATGCTGTACGAGGTGTGTATGGGGCGGGTGTGGTAGCGAAACGAGGCCATGCTTGTAGCAGGTCGTAGCATCGTTGTAGCCGGGATCTTGTTTCCCACTGCATGACTCAGATGGTGGTGTTTTTGTGTCACGTAGTGAGGATAACCATTTTCTGAAATCACAGAGATTAAGGGGCAGATCATAAGAAATGGCACGCGAAAGAGGGAGCTTGCTCAAATGTATCACAACTATAGAGGCAGGTAGAGGAGAGGGGTTTGGGGATGTGAAAAATGACAAAATAATTTTTCAGATATTTCTTCCTTTTTTTTAATTTGAACATTATTTAGGGTGTGGTCATTTATTATAGGGAGAGGGCGGAGGAACATGAATAAATGTTACCTGTATTAGCGGGGGCCATGAACATATGTTTAAATTGCCAGTCTCCCAAGACAATTTGGCAAGAAAAGTGTTGTTTTACAAAATAATTGTAGTGATAAACAGATTGTTTTTTTATTATTCTTTCACAACAATGAATATCTACTGAATTAACAGATTTATAAGATATGACCACTTATATATTTTTAATTATTCTGTCATTACAATAAATATCTCCTGAATTCAAAATGGAGTGAGTGAGTGAGTATGGTTTTACGCCGCTTTAGCAATATTCCAGCAATATCATGGCGGGGGACACCAGAAATGGGCTTCACACATTGTACCCATGTCGGGAATCAAACCCGGGTCTTTGGCGTGACGAGCTAACACTTTAACCACTAGGCTACCCGACCGCCCCGAATTCAAAATGGAACATACCAAGGGAAAAGTCCAATGAGGTCCTCATCCTGCTGAAGTCATCTGCGGACATCCGTACCGGGTCGTACGGGCCATTGCTGACTGCCGGCTCTACGCAAAAAAGAGAGAATATTTACAAACAACCATAGAGTATGTATGTCGTCTAACCCCAACTCTTTTAAATAATCAAGTCTGGACCAGACAGTCCAGTGATTACTGTAAAACGTGAAATTAATGCGTCTCCAAAAGAATGCGACCGCTGGCCCCTAGCCAAAAATGCGACTCAATATGAATGCGACACCTCCTCCTCTCAAGCATCAGTGGATTTATATCTAAACAAAATGTCCTCTGTCAGGTTTACAGGAGAATCCTCACCTTAATCCAACCTTACATTAATCTAATCACACACCAAATAGCACCGCTTATTAGCGCTGAGTAGAGTACATCAGCTAAAAGAATAGGCGCGCGCTGGCTCGTGTCGGCCTTTGATGCAGTCGCAAAGAGCAAAGACACCGTGTTGGGTGGCGTCTGTCAGGACTTGCAGGTGTGATCAGTGATGACATGAGTGAGTAGAACGCTTGTCTTGACCCCAGCAGTGACAATTCACAGGATGTAATTAGTGTTTGAATGACATTGTTTATATACTAGTAACAAGTGCTGCTCAATAAACAGTGATGTGGAATACATAGTTGTTTGTTTTCAGCGTATGTCTAAGTTGGTATTTCAGCTATCCAAAATGTATTATTGTTGATATATATGCGATGTTGAATCATGCGAGCAAAGACCACTCACATTTTTCGCATTTAATTCATGCTCGCGTTAATATCAAGATTTACAGTATTATTATGAGTAACACTAAAAAATGATGGTGTGCCATCACTGTGTCTGCCCATCTGATCCATTGAGTCGTCACTTACGACCAGCATAGATTGCTATGGCAAAGGATAGAATCTTAAAAAAACAGGTAAGATCTCGTCTCTCACGTCCTGCTTAGTTAGTGAAGAAGAGAATAATGACACCAGATGTTACGAGGGTTATAGAGGTCATATTGGGCAAAAGAGTTACTGAAGATGCTGATAGATGCTGACCAATTCTAAACCAGAATCCTCATGGGTCCTCAGCGTTAGGAATTGGCACTAGTCCTGTAGTCCTTACCAAACTGCCCAATAGTAAAGGGATCCTAAGGACTAGTAGAAATTGGCTCATTTTAAGGGTTTTGCTATATGTTAAAATTTTAAGGGCTAGTGGACAAAAACTGTTAGTTTCTAACCCTGGTCCTTAGTTTAGTTACCTCTAATTACATGCTATGACCATCTTCCCCTTGTAATACCCCTTGTAATGAAAACGCGATATCCAATCAGATCACTGTTCTTATCTTGTTAAGCTTCACAAAGATGGCGACTACCATAGGCAACAACCTAGTCGATCAGATAACGAAAACCTTCGCGATTTCATCCCTGAGATATAGGCAATCATTTGGGGGTTTAAACGATGTAAAATATATATTTGTGTCGATAAAAGACAGACAGCATTAATCACTTTCATACGAATGTGTACTAGTGGTGGGTGTTGATTTTGTGAAATGTTCTCCGATTGGACTATAGATATGTGCAATAGTACAATCATATTTAGCACAGGAAAGTGGGCTTGATATGGCAAGGGTGGAAACAAGACTTTGATAAAAAGGCGAGTGGATGCTCTTGCCTCGGGTAAATGTGCTATGAGGTGCTGGGGACACACTCTACCCTTGGTCTCCACAGAGGTGATGTAACGGCTAAGGATGGATCGGATTCCTATTATGGCACAAGACTATTAAAACTTTCAGTTGTTTGTTTCCACTGCTTCTTAAGAGTGAGTGAGTATGGTTTTACGCCACTTTTAGCAATATTCCAGCAATATCACAGCAGGGGACACCTGAAATGGGCTTCAGACATCGTACCCATGTCAGGAATCGAACCCGGGTCTTCGGCGTGACGAGCGAACACTTTAACCACTAGGCTACCCGACCGCCCCTGCTTCTTAAGAGAAGACAGCAGGTAATAGGCAGGCAACAGATGGACTGACAGACAGACAAGGAACACACTGCCACACCATGACAGCACTTGGATCTGCAGATAGGACATGGCTAACTGATACAGATTGATGTGGATGGCAACCCACAACATATCTCACACATAATATGTTATGAGTTAAAATTTTAAGTCACATTGGCAATATTTCAGCCATATCGTGCCAATCCAGGGTTAAACATGTTAAATACATTGTCATTTGAGACAACTGACAACGAAGGACAGTAAAATAACTAGACTTATCACAGAAAATCAGCATTAGAAATTGGCACTAGTCCTGTAGTCCTTACCAAACTGCCCAACAGTAAAGGTATCCTAAGGACTAGTAGAAATTGGCCCATTTTAAGGGTTTTGCTATATGTTATCATTATAAGGACTACTGGACAAAAACTGTTAGTTTCTAACCCTGAAAATGATATAAAACTAGCATGAAATCATAAAAAGGATATCACTATATATAATAATACATGATAAAAAACGGGCTATATATCACCAGCCACTGAAGGCAGATCACATACTGGGGACCATGGAGACTTACAGTACCTTTGTTAACTGCATGGACCCCAGCAGGATTTACATCATCCCTTCAAGTGTTTGCGATAATTGGCAAAGTGAGTCGAACATATTGAAATGACACATATTCTGCGATTGAAAACATGGCAGTTCTAAATTTACTTTAACATAACATGTAGAAGTTTTCAAAATGAGCTGTTTATTAACAATAATGGAATTGGTTCTTACTTTCAGTATGAAACAGATTCTCCTCCATGGCATCATCACCTATGACTCGATGGTATTTGTTGAATAGCCTGAAAAACAGACACAACCAAGCAGTGCTTGTCATGCTGTACAGCATTCAGAATATTCAGCAATTCAATATATAGTTCATATGTATACATGAGTATTAATTACCGTATTCGATGTAATAAACTCCCTGCTCTAATAAGCGCCCACGGCGATATTTGCTAATATATTGGCTTGTGAACAATACCAATTAGCACCCCTTCCGATTGATCAATGTACATAATACTTATTTAATCGCGTATTATACGCACTCATGTGTTATATGCACCCTTAATTATGGGCAATTAAATTCTGGAAAAATGTATCTCTCGTATATAAACATTTCAGGCCGTCAGCATAAACCACGAAATTTATCTTTCATTTTCACCAAAATAATTTTCTAATAAGAGCCCATTTTTAATTTTGAGAGCGCCCTAGGTGCTTATTATGTCCAATACGGTAAGCACCACCAACTTTTTTGGCATGAGTGAGTGGGTGAATATGGTTTTACGCTGCTTTTAGCAATATTCCAGCAATATCGCGGAGAGGGGCACCAGTTATGTGCTAAAGGTGGAAAATTGAACCCTGGTCTTCAGCATGACTAGCCTCTAACCACTAGGCTACCCCGCTGCCCCAACTTTTTTGGATTTGTGCGACATTACAAAATGTGTGATTCATTGTTGGAGGCATGACAAAATAGACGTAAACTGACAAAAACAACGCCTGGCACAACCATCACACACATGATGAAGCTGACACTAGCAATCAGTAATGATTTTCTGGCATTATGTGACGAAACCTAAAAACACTCAGTTCAACAAGGCTGAAAAGTGTCTGCGGCCGGCCCAGTCCACGAATAGGGCTGTCACATTATGAAGTGAAAGACGATTATCAGCTGATTATTGTCAACGTAGGAATCACCAGTCGCAGACGTAAAGTGTACGCTAGACGGGTGCGGTCCGCAGTACTCAGTGAAGCGCTTGATACTAATTAATTCAATCTCCGTGGCTGTGCTGTCACCCGCGACCTCCGTGAAAGTAATCAAAGCGCTATGGAAAATCACCCACTACCGAGAGGGACCACAAAACACTCAAGATCGCGTGTGCTTCGAGGCATCCGCCTTCCTATCTTCGCATCGTACGATCACCACTGACTCGGCAATCAGTGTCTGGAGTATCCAGCCCTCTCACGGATGACATTCGCGAGGCGTCTCCTCATACTGCGGATCAGACGTCTGATTTTCAACACTGGGATCCTCTGCCATTCCTGGTGCAGTGCCTGGGTCAGTTCATTCAGGTTTTGAGTGAGTGAGTGAGTGAGTATGGTTTTACGCCGCTTTTAGCAATATTCCAGCAATATCACAGCGGGGGACACCAGAAATGGGCTTCACACATTGTACCCATGTCCGGAATCGAACCCGGGTCTTCGGCGTGACGAGCGAACGCTTTAACCACTAGGCTACCCGACCGCCCCCCATTCAGGTTTTGAACTGGAGGGTCTCTAGCTCTCACTAGGTGCCCAAGAATAATCCCAGAAGTGTTCAGTTGGGTTCAGATCAGGGTTTGTAATTATTTTTCGGAAATGAATTTTGAATCCGGTTTGCTAAATCAATGTTCTTGTATTTCTAGGGGTTACATAAAAATTATTCCATAAAGACGAACAAACACTTGTGTAAAAAGTCCTTAAAATTGACCATCACTGTTATATGCCTCCAAGTTAAGAGCAGGATGTTGTTTTCTTCATAACTGTTTGGGTGAGTGAGTGAGTTGGGATTAACGCTGCTTTTAACAGTATTCCAGTTATATCACCGCGTGTCAGCTTAATGTGTGAGGAAAGCCCGAAGTGATGCAGGTCTCAGACGTTTACCACTTCGGTGAAACCCACGAGCACGGGAATGGTGCTGACAAACCTAGAAACATAATCGGGGCGAACCGGGATTCGAACCCACAATCATAGGTTTCTGGCGTGCCCAAGCGACGCAACTCTGCACAGCGAAACGCGGCGCCTTAGACTGGGCCACCCGTGCCCCCTCATAACTGTTTGGAATTCACATGTTAGCAGCATACAGAAACGGTAGGTGAAGGGTCACTTAAAAAATGCAGGTGTCCTGACAGTGACACACAGCCTTCATTTGAATTTAGTTAGGAAATGAATATACTGAACAAGGAATCATGACACTGACATAGCATTTTAATAATTGCACCAGCCACTGTTTCAGTGGGATTAATTTTTAATGAGATTAAAATTCATAAAACAACTTTGTTTTGCACTTACTCTTAGAGCATTATAGTGATGTTTTATCATTACATACCTTCTACCACTAGAGATGAAGCGGATTTTGTTGGCTCTGACAAAAACTCCATATTTGTCTCGACATTGAAAATATCTGCGTCCTAAAATCATTCCACAGCTGTCACCAACTGAAAATACAACATCAACATACAAAGTCAATAAATCACAATAACTGACTCCCTATGAATCACTATACAGAGTCAAGTAGCTAATTATATGTTGATATTGTAAATGCTGTACTAATAAATTGTATATTTATGATACTTATCCTATCTCACACTATGCATTTCTTCCTTTTTTCGATCCTTATGTGGAAACGTGAATAAAGTTTCCAGCTTCTAACAAAACAATTGGGTCCTACACTGAAATCCCAAGCGATGTGATCTACCCATGCTTTTTATCTTCAAAATCATTCTCTTCCTTAGCGCTAACAGGCAAGAGGAGCTGTGATGTGGGGATGTTTTTTAGAAGCTGGAAACTTAGGAATGAGTGAGTGAGTTTGGTTTTAAGCCGCTTTTAGCAATATTCCAGCAATATCACGGCGGGGAACACCAGAAATGGGCTTCACACATTGTACCCATGTCGGGATTCGAACCCGGGTCTTCGGCGTGACGAGCGAACGCTTTAACCACTAGGCTACCCGACCGCCCCACTTAGGAATGAAGAGAGGTAGAAGTGCATAGTGTGAGACAGGACAAGTATAAAACTTTAACATGAAAGAAGGAACTTTACGAATTCATGTTAAGATAGGTCTGCAGAACTCTATAGCTTGTACGAGGTGACTAAATAATTATTTGGATCAGCTTGTCAGTGTTAATGTGTGGATACGAAACTTTCCCTCGAATACGAAACTGCCGTCTATGATTTGAGAATGACTTTACGGCGGCCATCTTGGTTTGGCCTAGCCAGGCACACACTCCGTCGCAGTGGTGACTCAGCATAACACCACTGCCACAGGCTAATTTGCATATCACGTGACCGGACTTTTCTCTTGTTTGTAAACAAACGCGCTTTTTCAGAAATCAGTATAGAACCGACTAATGCAAGTATTTGGGGGCGCTTTACATATTGTTTTGCATAACTATATAGATATGCTACTACAACTGCGACAGTGAGTTGTATGACAATATATATTTATGCATCAAAGTGACCGTGTCGCTAGCTCTCCGTTGGGCTTCGATGACAGCACGTGGAGCCGTACAACCAATGCAAACATAGGATAACTACGCAAAAACAAGTAGATTTTTAAGTATTTGCATACTTTCTCAATGAAAGTTAACCATTCTTTGACATTTGTTTATGAAAATGTGTAGACTTGTCAAACATGAAACGGATGAAAAGCATATGCAATATCTTGAATGGGCTGTGAAAGATGTGACGAATCGTCACATGGCGCTGGCCTGTGGCAGAGGTACTATGCTAGCTGGCTACCGGCCGCATGGAACTCTGGGTAGGAGAGTGAGCCAGGCAGTTGAGTGACAACCTGTGTGGGTGCAGGAGGTGTATTGTGTTGGCAGTCGTTTTGAATACAAGTGTAAATGAAGAACCTGTGTCTGTCTATTTTAACAGTCAGGCTCTGTGAATCTAATGTGATATCTCTTTTCATGTCGGGTAGCCTAGTGGTTAAAGCGTTCGCTCGTCACGCCGAAGACCCAGGCTCGAGTCATGACATGGGTACAATGTGTGAAGCCCATTTATGGTGTCCCCCGCCGTGATATTGCTGGAATAATGCTTAAAGTGGCGTAAAACCGTACTCACTCACTCACTCTTTTCATGAAGATCTTGGGACACCACCATAGTCAGGTGAACCCGGAGCAAACTTTGACTGCCCAATCCATGAGAAGAATGCATGGGTTCTTGAGCCAGTCAGATGTTAGCTTACTAAACAGATTTAGCTTCATTATTTGCAACCTATATTTGGGAATATTGATTTTAGCAAAAGATAACACAAATATATCCTTGATAGTACACCCTTTTTGGTCTCAGTCCATTATTATATCCAGTTTCAAGATACACAAATCACAAATACATATCTGATTGCTGCGCTCACTAGTACTGAGAAATTAGAAGCCCTGATGCTGGTTGGTTGATAAGAAATTTCACATCCTTAGCATCCCTGTAAAGCCACCACCGTTAGAATTAGGCCTGGGACGGCCCGGACGGGTAACCCGAATCTAAGACAATTATCTCACACATGAACAAATTAATGAATTCTATATGAAGTTGCCGGCCAATGGAACTTAGTTTGGAATCCTAGGTGAAAACCCTGGGTTAGAGATATTCTTGAGACTTTCAAAGCAGCTTCTTAATCTTAAAAAAATGTAGAAAACAGTGACCATATATTTTCCGAGGAATTAACTTTTTGTCATGCTTATAAGTTTTACAAGCATAATGATTTTCTTTCTTCCTTCATTCAACTTTGTCCAGATTAAATCATTCAAAATTACACCAGTCATAGCATATTATTAATAGAAATACAATTACTGATCACCTCACTATGTCATGTATAACATTAGCACAACACAAAATATGTGTACCATGTAAATCTGTAAAGGAGCAATTGATACTGCAATAGTGTAATACAAAAGCCACTATGACTACTATAATTACACGTGTTCCCATTTGATGGATTGGGACAAGATATCTAGAAATCTTGCATAACAATCAATGGCTATATTTCCTCTATCAACAACCTCTGATAATTAAAAGGGCCAGGTCTGTTTCAGCTAACCCTTACTGAACAGTACATTTAAATACCGTCAAGTAGGAATGGGATGAGTCCAAATTTACTCACCAGCTTCTCTGTCACCCTATTACCCAGATATCCACTGTAGCACTCAAGAATAGGGTACAAAATGTCCGATTAGCAATTGTTTTAGCAACTGGCAAAAAGTATTTAGATACACATATAGACCAATCTGGTCATGCATGTGCTGACGTTGACCGTTGCTGCATTTAATATTTATTCAAATATATAATAATCAGACGGAATCTGTGCATAGTTAGAAATAAATGTTAATATTAGAATCTAGTGATTTGTAGCATAACCATTAAACTTGATCCTGATGGCCCTGTGGTGGCGCTGTGTCCTACTCAGTACCCATGTACCCAAGCTTCCCGTCCCAGTCCTATCATCAAGTTTACTAAACCAGGAAACGATACCACATGAATGAGAGCCGGGTCTAAAATAAATGTCCCTTGATGAGGGTCGTGATGGGTATTAGGGTTAACGTAAAACACCCTTCAAACACTATCGTAAACGTAAAAGTCATCTTTTTTTATCGTAAATGCTTATTGTAAAATACCAAAAAATAACTGCTTAACGTAAATAAATAATTTACTGCTTATCAAAAAATTATTAAAATGGTCAAAAACAGTCTGTCTTCAAGACCGAAATGCTTCGCCACAGAAAGCAATATGAATTGTCAGGATGAAACGAAAGCAGAATTAAAAGTCCCATGTCCTGCCATGGCTGATTTAGGAATTTCCCGCGACGATTTTATTGAAAAAGAAGAAAAATTACTGCTTAATGAAAAAGTACCCTAAATTTTACTGCTTACTGCTTATTGGACACACCCATCAGGATCCTCCTTGATTACGTACCTGGTTCATCAAGTGAAAGTCCAACCCATTCACCCTTTTTCGTGATGATGCATCCTTTATACTGAATAGTGCCGCGAAATATCTCCCCACCTAGTAAAACTTCGACCCTTTGACCAACGTTTATGTTAATGAACAACACCATGACTGCAAAACACGAGTGTTTCTTTGTAGCAAGTGATGTTTTATTCCTAGCGCCTCGAACGAGCACCTTGCTAGCTAACAGCCATGTTGTTTATTTCCGTAACCATGAAGTAGAAATGCTATTAGCCTAAAACCTATTGAATTTGGAAACACCTTTCATTCTATCAGAATACCAACTTACATATTATTAATATTCGCCTGACTTCCGAAAATGTTTTATAATTAGCCCCTTACTAAAACTATAGTTGCATGTCTTCTAGTGACATGTTTCCAATTATCCCCTTCATATTATCACATACTGTAATAAAGTTGTAAGGTAAAGAGTCTTTCCCAAATCGCGCTCGCGTATTTCCAACAACGAGACTTCAAGAGGATAAATGGCGTCTTCTGAGAAGTCGTGTATTGACATCCGCGTAAATTTTGCGTGTATTTATAAAATCTCCAAATGAAGCTCTTCATTAAACGTTCAAGCTGCTTTATGAAGTATCCATTACACATTTAGGATATATACACACACTCGAGGAAGCAACCTTTGAGTGAAAACCTTTAACGCAGTACGTGTTGATTTTATGTTGAACTTACAACTCCATCAGTTTGATAGGTCCCGTCTACACAATGAATCCCAATAGATATGATGAATGTACTGTGTAAAAGTAGAAATATTAGCAACTATTTTCCACTATACTACCATTCTCTAAGATAAAAGTGCTTCACCGTCAGTATGATGCCATCATGAGGTGAATTTTGTCTTTCCACTAAATTCCAGTGCACATTTTGTTGTGATGGTCCAACGTTATTATCAATAGTTCGTTGGTTGCGCATAAGAGATGTAATGATAGTTTGTAAGGAACTGGTAGGTGTCATTATCGATATAATCAGTCCTGTCACTTGTGAAGAAAATATTGTCAAGAATACACACATAAAATAAAGTTCCACTATCTTTTCTCGAACTTTCAAACTGCTGGAGGAAATTCCTACTACTTCTCAAGTGTTACTTGGAGCATGTTCTAATTCAGGGATTAATGTAGGCATTATCAGAAGTTGATATTTGGCCTTAGGCCAACTGAAAATATTGGTAAATATTAACTTATAATATTTTACTATTGCAAAAGAGATTTGGTTTTGAGAGACCAAAGACCTGTTTTACAACACCAATAGTAAGAGAAAAGCATTAATACTTTGTTTTATTCTGTTGTATTTAAAGATGCTGAACTACTTTTATACTCCACTGTTGCCCATGTCCATCTTTGTTCTAGATTTTGCTATTAGTACCATGTATGAAACTGAGACATTGTCTCTGTGTAATTATTAACTAATAGATGATAAGCAGTATACAAAAAGACTTTTCGATAGCACACAAAGCTGACTTGGAAAAACTTGAATAAAGCTTTACCAGGTCTCCCAATTTGCTCAAACCTTGTCTTTCTATGGCTAAACATTGTTTTTTTCCAGTCGCCTCAAAGACACTTAGTTGAAAGTCCTGGATGTCTCTGTGTTATAGATCACATTATGATGTCTTTAGAAGCACATAACCAATGATGGCTCCCCTCTTTGTTTTGAAAACTACCTGATGACAAGCTTAATAGGCCTTCTAAAAATGTTCCACATAACAACAAAACCAAATTTCATATTTTAAATTTTTAAATTCTACCAAACAATTTCTGTCATTACACATTTAATGTGGTAAAATAGGTCATTATTTTCTTGTCCGTTATGTCAATTCCTTTTATGTTTTTGTCATAAATGAGCAAAGACAAAGTCTTTTTTAAGTTTGAAATGCTTAATACAGTCCTAATGTTTATGTACTATAAATTGGATGTATGAGTGAATGGTTGATATCTTAGATAATGTTGTTAAAGGAAGTAATAAAGGGGAGAACGTTACTGATCATTAATAGTAATGATCAGTTGAGGCAGGATAACAATTAATGCTTTGTTACTGTCCTTCAGCATGCACAGTACAACCTAATATTCCCAGGGTCCATGGGTGGCCCAGTCATCTAAGGTGCTGTAGTTCCCTGTGCCGGAGTTGTGTCCCTTTGGCATGCCAGACACATATGATTGTGGTTATGAATCTCAATTCAACCTGATTATGTTACCAGGTTTGTCAGCACCATACCCATGTTTCAGCAAAGTGGCAAATGTTCACTTTAGACTGGACCCGTGAAGATTCCGGGGTAGAATAGGTCTTTAGTAACCCATGTTTGCCGTAAAAGGTGACTATGCTTGTCGTAAAAGGCGACTAACAGGATCGGGGGGTCAGGCTCACTGACTTGGTTGATGCATGTCATTGATCCCAATTTCCGTGGATCGATGCTCATGATATTAATCACTGGAATGTCTGGTCCAGACTCGATTATTTACAGACCGCCGTCATATAGCTGGAATATTGCTGAGTGCGGCGTTAAACAATAAACCAACCAACCACTTTAGACTGTCTCCCCCCCCCCCCCACCAAGCTGACATACTGTGATACCTGTAACACTGAACATTCAAAGCAACAGCATTAAACATTCATTCTCTCACATGGCCGAGTCACTCATTCACTGACAGCTTGATACAGTGGATAAGTTGGCTCTGGAATTTGTTCACTGTGGAGACGAGTCACACACTTATGATGCCCAACTCTAGCAATTAGTGATTATTTCAGTAGGATGTGTTCACGCAGTCTTGGTTTCTGCATCATCTAGCACCTGATGTTTTGAGTATCGTCGGTTCTTTTAGCAGTCAGAACATCAGGATGTCAAAGGGTGGCTCAAAGGATGGAAAGGAAGGGAAGGTCAGCAGTCACCTGACCGTGGAGTCCATGAAAACCATTGCAGAGTCAGTGGGAGTTTCTGGACTTGCTGATGAGGCAGCATCACAACTAGCAGAGGACTGTACATATAGGATGAAGCAAATTATTCAGGTAAGAATGAGATGAGGGGTTCGCACTCTTTCTTGGTGGAAATATAATAATCTGTATTTTACTTCATGTTAAGATACATATCCTTTTGGTATTCAGTTGTCTATGACATATGTCACATTTTCCCTGTTTAATGCATCTTCCTGAGGCAAGTGAGGTAACTGACTTTAAAGTCCAGTTTCCACCCTTGCCGAAATAGGCTGGTATTATGGAGTTATATTTTAGCTGGACCAACAGGGCTACAATTGAGCCCTGAAGTTCCAGCCTAGTTCGGCAAGTGTGGAAACTGGACTTTTATCATGTTTATAGTCAGTTAAGTCCCTTACCCCGGGAAGATGTATTTAATGAGGTTTTGCTATTTTTAACTTTTTGCCAATTTCTATTATCATTCTGGTTGCATTTTATAAACCTTTCTTTGCATGACATTGATTTATGTATAATGGACAGCAATCAACATGATCAAATTATAACCAGTTAATATTTTGTTTTGATTAAACATATTAAGTGTGTTTTGTTTTACAAATTGTTGCAATACATGTACCTGAATATAATGGTTTTCATTGTTCAACATTTCAGGAAGCTGTTAAGTTTATGCATCATGGTAAAAGACGGAAACTGTCTACATGGGACTTTGACCAGGCACTGCAGGTCAAGAACATTGAGGTAGTGAGAATAACTATAAGACATTGAAATGAATCTTAGCAGGGAGTTTATGAATGACATGGAATTCAATGATGTGGCCTTATCTTTATTATGTGACTTGGCATGTTAGCAGGATAAACCCAAATACTATCAGACATATTAAGATGAAACATTGTAGTCTTTATGAAGTTAGATACATCTGTAGCATAAAAACTGGACTTTCAGGGGTGTTGGTGAGATATGATATATGATATGATATGATATGATATGATATGATATATGATAATGGAAAACACAAATGAGACAAAGAGAATTGATATTCAATTAAACATTAGTTGTTGAGGATCATGTCTCCTTGAAATTTGTGGAAATCATTTGATCAACACGTTGTCTGGATGGAATCCTGGACTTGGCATTAATTCACTCTCTGCCTTGTTAATGATGCATTCCCTGGTCTACTTACCTACCATGCTTACTGCCATTGTCATGATTGTGCTGTTATTGAGGGGGAAATAAGCATTTCATTCTTGATCTGTTGCCTAAGGCGCTGCCATTCGCTGGGCAGAGTTGCATCCCATGGGCACGCCAGAAACCTGTGATAGTAGGTTTGAATCCCGGTTCGCCCCGATAATGTTTCTAGGTTTGCCAGCACCAAACTCATGCTCATAGGTTTCACCGAAGTGGTAAAAGTCTGAGACCTGCATTACTTTGGGTTTTGATCCCACATAAAAGCTGACATGCCTCATATAACTGAAACACTGTTCCAAGCAGCTTAGAACCCAACTCACTTACTCATTTGATTACCTACTTTCGAAATACGGCATGTTCAATTACTCCTTTTCGCAGCCCCTGTACGGCTTCCATTGTCCTGATCTGATCCCGTTCAGATTTGCCAGTGGTGGTGGCCGAGAACTTCATTTCAATGAAGAGAAGGAGCTGGACCTGCAAGACATCATTAATGGTCAACTGCCCAAAATACCTCTAGATGTCACTCTTAAAGGTAAGAACCTGATCATGCATTCTAGTGATCATTGTAACCCTTCAGAAAGGCAGACATTCAGTGAGCAGTCTAAATGCTGCAATTTGATTATTCGTTTTGAACTGTTATTATTCATTCAGGAGAAGCTATTGATTTTGGAAACCTTACAGTTCATCATCAATTGATGTCACTGCAATTGGCAGGTCAGGGATAATTTGTGTAATGTAAGTTGAAATTCTAAAGTTCCTTCTCTTTGACCCGTGAAGATTTGGGGTAGAATAGGTCTTCAGCAACTTGCTTGCTGTAAAAGGTGACTATGCTTGTCGTAAGAGGCAACAAACAGGATCGGGTGGTCAGGCTCGCTGACTTGGTTGATGCATGTCATCGATCCCAATTGCATGAATTGATGCTCATGATATTAATCACTTGATTGTCTGGCTCAGACTCGATTATTTACAGACCTCCGTCATATAGCTGGAATATTGCCGAGTGCGGCGTTAATCCAACCAACCAACAACCAATCATGTTCGTTCTTCTCACCACATATTCAGCTCATTGGTTGAGTATTGACGGAGTCCAGCCATCCATCCCAGAGAACCCTCCCCCAGCCACGAAGGAGCAGCTGAAGATTGAGAGCCTGGACACTAACATCAAGACTGCTATTGACAAGGTTCTCAAGCCCAAGACACAAGCCGAAGGAGGCAAAGCCAAACATAAGATGAAGAGTGGAGCTGAGATGGTCAAACTGAAGAATCTATCCATGCATGAACTTTCCGTGGTAAGACGGAGTGCAGAATGACATGAGGTTTATCCACAAGGAATTACAGGGGATGGGGGTTGGTCATAGGGGTTTGGGTAGTCCTCTTGATTTTCATGTAGTAAACAAGAATTTGGGGTGATCAACAAGAGGTCTGAGTGGTCAACAAGAGGTTCGGGTAGTCCATAAGAGGTTTGGGTTCTCAATAAGAGGTTGGGGTTGTCAACAAGAGGTTTGGGTGGTTAACACAAGGTTTGGATGGACAATAAGAGGTTTGGGTTGTCAACAAGAAGTTGGTTTGTCAAGAAGAGGTTTGGGTGGTCAACCCAAGGTTTGGATGGGCAACAAGAGGTTAGGGTGGTGTGGTCAACAAGAGGTTAGGGTGGTCAACACGAGGTTTGGATGGTCAACAAGAGGTTGGGATGGTCAACAAGAGGTTTGGGTGGTCAAAAGAGGTTAGGGTTGGGTGGTCAACAAGAGGTTTGTATGGTCAACAAGAGGTTTGGATGGTCAACAAGAGTTTTGGGTGGGGTTGTCAACAAGAGGTTTGGGTGGTCAACACGAGGTTTGGATGGTCAACAAGAGGTTTGGGTTGTTAATAAGAGGTTTGGGTTGTCAACATGAGGTTTGGGTGGTCAACAAGAGGTTTGGATGGTGGTCAACAAGAGGTTAGGGATGGGTTGTCAACAAGAGGTTTGGGTGGTCAACACGAGGTTAGGGTGGCCAGCAATAGGTTGGGGTATTCAGCAAGTGGTTGGAGCAGGCAACATGAGGTCATAGTTGGCAACGGGGATCAGAGCGTTATGGATTATGGGTTAACAGGGTTCCTGTATCCTAGTTTGATAATTTACTGGGTTCTGCAGGGTGGAGAAGGTTAAAACTGACAGAGAACCATCATAATTGATGTGTATTGTGCTGGGGACTGAATACGTTTGAAATTTAAAATATGAGTTTTAGTTGTGGATTCTGTCATGACCCAATCAACTCAATTTCATCCCACTCTTCCAGGAGCAGCAGTTGTACTACAAGGAAATCACAGAGGCTTGTGTCGGACCTGACGAGGGAAGACGATCGGTAGGTGGATCAGGGACAAAGATAATAAGCAGACCCGAGATCATAATTGTAATGAATACATTGATGAAGATATATCTGTATCCGTCATCAGGGTACTTGGCTGGGGATACATTTCATGTGTTGATTCTCATGTCATGAATACCAATACTGTCTGGTATTGTTTGATTGTTATTTGTTTATATATGTACCCTTTCATAGTTATACTTTCAGTCTAGATAAAAATGGGGGCATGTGTGGCCAGAAACTTATTATCCTGGGTTTCGAATTCATGTTTCTAGGTCTGTGAGTACTATACCCGTGCTCATGGGTTTCTCCAAAGTGGTAAACGTCTGAGACCTGCATCACTTTGGGTTTTCCTCCCACACCAAGGTGACATACCATGACATATATAACAATACTGTTGAAAGTGGCATTAGACCCAACTCAATCACTCTAAATAAAAAGCAAGGGTGAAAGACATGAGAGTGAGTGAGTGAGTATGGTTTTACGCAGCTCTTAGCAATATTCCAACAATATTATGGCTGGGGACTCCAGAAATGTACTTCACACCTTGTTGGGAATCAAACCCGGGTTTTCAGCATGCTGAGCGAAGGCTTTAACCACTTGGCTACCCAACCGCCCCCAAAAAGTGAGAAATATTATCAAAGATTGCACAAGTCACAATATATTCAGCTCAGTATATATCATGCAGCGTATCACACCTGCAGCTATGTGTGGTGATAGTGTGGACTATTTCTCACCACAGTACACATAGCACTATGGACACGGAGTGAGCACACACCAGGCACTTTGATTATTAGGTGCAGCTGGACTCCAGTGGCAGCATTAGACAGTGACACTGTGACTAGGTGTGACAGTCTAATTGTGAAGTAGCATTGCACAATATCATGTGAAGACTCGGGTTGTGAAGACCATTTCTGTTGTGATATTGCTATTAGAAACAGGATCATATCTAACTTAATTGATCAGTATATTGTGAGTTGTGTCAGGTATCTGGTTATGTGGGTAATGATATATCTCTATGTCTTATGATGTATACCATAAATGTGATACCACACCTTTGTTCAGGAAGTGACACAATCTTTTAGCAGTAACCTCAGTCTAAACTCAGAATAATGGCTATGCTTGTCGTAAAAGGCGACTATGCTTGTCGTAAGAGGCAACTATGCTTGTTGTAAGAGGCGACTGCTTGTTGTAAGAGACAACTATGCTTGTCGTAAGAGGTGACTATGCTTGTCGTAAAAGGCGACTATGCTTGTCATAAGAGGCGACTATGCTTGTCGTAAGAAGCGACAACGCTTGTCGTAAGAGGCGACTATGCCTGTCGTAAGAGGTGACAATGCTTGTCGTAAGAGGTGACAATGCTTGTCGTAAGAGGCGACTATGCTTGTCGTAAGAGGCGACAATGCTTGTCGTAAGAGGCGACTAACGGGATCGGGTGGTCAGGCTTGCTGACTTGGTTGATGCATGTCATCTTATCCCAATTGCATAGATCGATGTTCATAATGTCAATCATTAGATTGTCTAGTCCAGACTTGATTATTTACAGACAGCCATTACACAGCTGGAATATTGCTGAGTGCAGAGTTAATCAACAAACAATCAAACATAATACATTTGATTTTGATTGGAAAGCTATATTAAGCATCATTTCCTTTTGAAACAGAAAATGGTGTATTAAGCTGTTGTAGGAAAAGGTCAAGGGTATTCATCATGATCATGACTGGAGAGATTGTGATCATGATGATACTCTGGAATCTCAGTAATGCTGACTAAGGCATATTCGGAGTCATGGCATATTGGTATTAGACGTGCAGTATATGTTCCTGCTGTATATGTTCCTGCCCTCCAGACCCATGAAGATTCCGGGGTAGGATAGGTCTTCAGCAACCCATGCTTGCCGTAGAAGGCGACTATGCTTGTTGTAAAAGGCAACTAACGGGATCCGGTGGTCAGGTTGCTGACTTGGTTGATGCATGTCATCTTATCCCAACTGCATAGATCGATGCTCATGATATTGATCACTGGATTGTCTGGTCCAGACTCGATTATTTATAGACCGCCGTCATATAGCTGGAATATTGCTGAATGCGGCTTTAAACAACAAACCAAATCCTGCCCTCCACCTGTCTACTGCTTCGTGTTCCAGGAAGCCCTGCAGAGTCTTGCCACAGACCCAGGACTACATCAGATGCTGCCTCGGTTCAGTACATTCATATCAGAGGGGGTGAGTACAACATACAGTCAAAGAGTTAACACAGAAGATTTACAACAAAACTCATGAAAATGTTTGAAATATACTCCATAGTGTTAATACCAGTTTATTATTTTTGTGAAAGAAAACTTTCACTTTGTCCAAAATGTGTCCATAATAGGATTTTAATTCGTACCAGCCTCACTGAAAGACCCCTTTGTGGGACCTTTTCCAGTGCTTTGTCATGGAGAGACTGTTCTTGTCTCAATCTACCTCTCTTCTTCAAGACCCGTGAAGATCTGGGGTAGAATAGGTCTTCAGCAACACATGCTTGCCGTAAAAGACACAAACCAAAAACAAAAGAAGTATTATGTTGCCGACTGGCACAGAACTTCCTCTCTGATTTAATTTCTGTAATTATCTCCCCTGGAAGGTTAAAATCAACGTGGTTCAGAACAACCTAGCTCTGCTCATCTACCTGATGAGGATGGTCAAGTCTCTCATGGATAACCAGACGCTCTACTTGGAGAAATATGTAAGTTGTGAAAATATTCCCAAAAGTCCGATCTCACAAAAAAGGTATTTTTAAGCGTGAATATCAAATGTTGATGCTCATTGGATGAATGCTAGTGCTTCATGCTTTAAATTCCTATGACTTACTTCTGATTTCATCAAAGAAGAGCCAGTTACTCATGTCAATTTTGTTCTATCACGATCAGTCAATTGTAAAATGTTGCAATGAAGCATGGTCCAGTTTACAAATCAGTGATTGTGCAGTGAAAGCATCACTCTTTCTCATGACTTGTGCAAGGGAAGATACATGTTCAGTCAAACACTTTTGTGTCGAACTTTGATGTGTCGAACTTACTGTTGTCTCGAAGTAAAGACTTGATCCCTGGATATTCCTTCTTTATTCATCATTTTCAGTTGTCTCGAACCTCAGATAAGTATTTACATAGGTCCCTTCAACTTTGACACAACGGCTTTTGACTGTACTTGGTAGTAATAATATAATCACACTTTGGCCTAATATCATGATTCTGATCAGAAAATAAGTTCTATAAGTTCCATATTTAACCTAGTCACACAAGATGCAAGTTTCATTGATGTAAAAATGGGGGCGGTCGGGTAGCCTAGTGGTTAAAGCGTTCGCTCGTCACGCCGAAGACCCGGGTTCGATTCCCGACATGGGTACAATGTGTGAAGCCCATTTCTGGTGTCCCCCCGCCGTGATATTGCTGGAATATTGCTAAAAGCGGCGTAAAACCATACTCACTCACTCACTCATTGATGTAAAAGTAATGCATGAGTTATCTCCCCTCATTAGACCATTCATTTCCAGGAGTACATGTATTGACTATATATTATTCAAATTTCCTCTGTTACATAGCTGCATGAGATAATTCCTGCAGTAGCAACTTGTATTGTGAGCAGACAACTGTGTCTACGTCCTGATGTGGACAATCACTGGGCTCTCCGAGACTTTGCTTCCCGACTCATGGCACAGATCAGCAAGTAAGGATTTATATTACTTTGCACTTACACCATACTTTTAATCATGTTAAGAGCAACCATACCTAGTGCTTACGAATATTTTTTGATGGCCAGTTTGGCAGATAACATTTTCCATGCACTTGATTTTTGGGTAACGAAAAATACATGTAAAAAATTGTTATCAGAACACTGTTGGCAGATAACATTTTGCATACTCTTGATTTGGGGGTAATGAAAAATACATGAAAGTTTTTTTTATCAGAACACTTTTGGCAGATAACATTTTTCATGCCTTGATTTTGGGGGTATTGAAAAATGTGTGTCTGCAAAAGTTTTGAGTCCGAGTATGGCATGATATCTCAGTGGGCTGGCACTATAAAACAGGCATTTGTCCAGACTTGTACAAGCAGCCATGCACGCACACGAGCATGCATGTCACTATATACATGCAATAATCTTGCACACGACATTCAACACCATTTCACCTCATCAGTAGATATATGAAGCTGTGGCAGGAGCATGTAACAGACGACTTATTCCATCATTTCCATTGCAGAAATTTCAGCAGTAACACCAACAACATCCAAGCCCGTATCACCAAGACTTTCAGCAAGGCTCTGTTAGGAGACAAGTCTGCACTGGCCACACAGTATGGGGCTCTGTCGGGGTTGGGGGAACTTGGGCCAGAGGTGACGAAGACGTTCCTGCTGCCTCACATCAAGGGGCTTGGGGATAGGATGAGGATGGCACTAGAGGGTCAGATACTCAACAACGCTGACAAGATTGCTGCTGAACATATCAAGAAACAATTAACTGTAAGTGAAGGACTTGTGCGAGTTTATTTCATGGATCTTTGAAGAAGTTGCATTTATTTTTATTGTGAAAATGGTCCATATAGAGAATTTTATACATAAAGCATTGGCCTAAGTTTGTTACACTAAATTGTTTTCTCTGGCATCATAACAGTACAATAGCTGAGTGTTGCTATTCAGAAAATATATGTACAGTGCCCAGTGTAATATAGCTGTTAACACACATCAAGACCAGCTACAGAATTACATGGCTCTAATTATTGGTTGGGCTCTCTTGCTGATGATGGTTACTACTTTCCAGAAATCTAATAAAGACCTTGTTTTCTTCCTGCACAGAAATATGTCCCACCAGTCCTGAAGAACCTCAAATCTCCGAGCGAGACGTTAGAGGACTACAACAATGAGTTTGGGTATGTGGGTGCGCTGCTGTACAATGCTACCCTGAAGGAGAGGCAGACTCCCACAGTCAGCACCTGCCCTGTCACCCCAGCCAGGCCAACTGTGCAGCTGCAGCCGGTACGTCACTATAGAGGCATTTAGACTAAAGCTGAGTAGCGCCTGACATCTCACAACTACGGACTGATGATGCCACTGGCATCACGATACACGACAAAGAGATAAGAAATGATGAAATCACCGAGTGATTTGAATTATTTAGAGGTCTGCCAAAGTGTAAAGTTAAATGAGTCAGTTGTTTGAATGTTCCGGCAATTTCTCTGGCAATTTCTCATGAAATTCTATGATAGAAAACAGTTTACCCAAAATACATGATTTGCCTCTTGTAATATTGTGATCAGAAAAGTATGATAATTAAAACCACTTATCAATTCAATTTTCATTATGCCTTTCAAAACATGTCCACAGTGTTACTGTTCACGTACATTTTCTCTGTTTACAGTCTCGGCCTCAGATATTGATCCAGTCATCAGGATCTACATCACAACCAGGCACCCCCACCACTCCAAGGTTCCCCACCCCCACAGGAGCGGTACCAAGAACACCTACCACTCCCTCCCTGGGGGGGGCACAAAAGTATGTCATTGTCTCATCGCAGCCTCGCTCCACCACCCCTTCATCACAGAACATCACCATCAACAGTGGCAGTGCTGGGTCAGCCCCGACAATTGTTAAACTTGTTACCACAGCTCAAGGAGCTAACACTAACACAGTGCCTAGAACTACTCCACAGAAAATTGTGGTCATGTCCATGCCCTCTAGCGGGTCAGGGTCACAGCAAGGTCAGATGTTGACCCCAGGTGCTTCAGATGACCTTGGCGTCAAAAGTGTGTTTGGAGGTCAAGGTTCAAACTTTTCATTTGCAGTCAAAAAGGACCCAGAACAGAGAGATACATGAAGTAAAGGATTTAAGATGTCAAGGACCAAATATATCCAGGTGGATGCAAAGTGTGTGTTACTTTATGCTCAGCTGGGGGGCACAGGTGTCCCAGTCGTCTAAGGTGCAGCGATTTGCTGTGCAGAGTTGCGTCCCTTGGACACGCCAGAAACCTATGATTGTGGGTTCGAATCCCAGTTCGCCCCGATTATGTTTCTAGGTTTGTCAGCACCATACCCGTGCTTGTGGGTTTCACTGAAGTGGTAAACGTCTAAGACCTGCATCACTTCGGCTTTCCTCCCACATTAAGCTGACACGCCGTGATATAACTGGAATACTGTTTAAAGCGGCGTTAAACCCAACTCACTCACTCACGCTCAGCTGGATGATTACCATGGTTACAATGGATGTGAGATATCGTACAATGGAGACTTAACTGTTGATTCTGAATCGCAAAGGGATCGTCTCTGCTCCTCACATCTCTGTCATTCCAACATTGTCAAATAGGAATAGTGTGTTAAATCCTTAAATTTCTAACACGACTAAACAGTTTTCTGTATCAACCTCAAACAATAGATATGTGTACATGGGGAGCGTAAACAGCGCCAAACCTATGTGGCACTGCAACTCAATGTGGAGAGTTGTGCCCCTTGGCTGCCATGACAAAAGTAGTTGGTCCCTGACACTGACATCTTCCCGAGGCAAGGAGTTAACTGACGATAAAAGTCCAGTTTCCACCCTTGCCGAACTAGGCTGGTATTATGGAGTTAGATTTTGGCTGAACTAACGAGTCTATGCACAGTCCAATCAAAATCGCCCAGCGAAATCGAAATCCGGTTCGTAAACTGTCATGCAGAGTTCGGTCGATTGCAGGATTTGCAAAGCATATGCACCGCCAACTCGTTGTCAACAGATATTTTCCAAATCTTTTCATGTTTTTAATCAAGGTACTCAAGTGATTTGATGCATTTCGCAAAGCAAGAACCGTTTTATCACAATATACATCTTGATTGTCGTTCAGTTTGTCTCGACTCGGCGCCACCATTTTGTTTTAAGCAAATGCAAGTTATACAAGAGGTGGAATCTGATTGGTCCATAGGCGAGACATAGAAGGGAAATAACTCGTAACAGCCACTGGTGGCGCTAGGATCGAACCCCGGAATTCCAGCCTTGTTCGGCAAGGGTGGAAACCTGACTTTTAAATCAGTTAACTCTCTTGCCTCGGGAAGATGTGACACTGACTATCATTGGCTGACTAAGAACCAGGCAATGCTTGTGGTTTTCACCAAAGTGGTGATCTGTGATCATCACTATTGGAAGGAATAGCTCTTCTTGTAGTGACATTCCATACAGGGGGTCTCACATTGAATTGCATTCCACTTACATTGGCATATGTATAAATTTGAAACAGTATTGCTGTACATCATGACTGCACACATCATTATCATGTCTTTTGTAAGTAAAACAATATGCTGGTCACCAATGTTGTGTTATAAGTCACCAGATATCTCCATTATAATTTACTTGACTGGTGACGGACTTGAATCATTAACATTATGACCATGGATTCATACGGAGGCTTTGCTATTTTCTACCGGGGCGGTCGCATAGCCTAGTGGTTAAAGCATTCACTCGTCATGCCGAAGACCCAGGTTTAATTCCCAACATTGGTAAGACCGCCTCCGTGGTCTAGTGGTAGAGTGTCCGCCCAGAGAGCGGAAGGTCCGGGATTCGATCCCTGACCTCGTCATACCAAAAGACGATAAAAGATGGTACTTGTTACCCGGGTATATAGCGATGTGCATGTACGTGTGTGTGTGTGTGTGGCTGCTTGTACTAGTCCGGACTGATGCCGATTTATAGTGCTAGCTCACTGAGATACCATGCCGCAGTTTAACACGAATACCCCACTCAGACACAGTAAACTGACTCCGAGCCGACCAGTCCTTGTTTTAAAGCCCCTTAATGCCGAGAGCCTGACAGGGTAACAAGTACCATCTTTTAACGTCTTTTGGTATGACGCGGCCGGGGATCGAACCTTGGACCTTCCGCTCTCCGGGCAGACGCTCTACCACAAGACAACGGAGGCGGCCTATCAGATTTTGAACAATATCCCGATTTTTTTCCCAATTTTTCTGTCTTACCAATAATCCTTGGGAACTGATACTGTGTGAACCACTGAACATCTTTGTTTAGTCAACATTGTGCAACCTGCTTTTCATTGGACTGAACCTGGACATTTTCAGAACCATTGACAGGATGAAACATTTTTATGTATTGTGTACCAGTAGTTTTTTTCAGCAGGCACAACATCAACATCAACATCAACATGGGTGCTTGTTAAGTGGGGACCCGTATAGATTCGGGTTAGAATCGGTCTTCAGCAACCCATGCTTGCCATAAGAGGCGACTAAAGGGATCGGGTGGTCAGGCTTGCTGACTTGGTTGATGCATGTCATCGAACCCAATTGCGTGGATTGATGCTCATGATTTCAATCACTGGATTGTCTGATCCAGACTCGATTATTTACAGACTGCCGTCATATAGCTGGAAAATTGCTGAGTGTGGCGTTAAACAACAAACAAAACTTGTTTAGTGTATTGAATGAAAGAAACAAGTTGATTCAAGGTGAAATAACGTTTATTCTTAATGTAACAAAATTGCTAATTCTACAAAATAATCATTTATCCAGATCAAGGTACTGTTGAAAGAAAGTTATCTTATCCATGCATCCTCCGTAACCACAATTTGATAACCACCAGACTACCCCACACCCATGCAAGTGGAAGATAGTTACCATGGTTACAGGAATTCTCACGATTGATTTTTTTACTGATAGTGAGACCCTTCAGAAATGACAGAAAATCCGGAACGTTGTAATTTTCTAGAAAACATAGGGATGCTGGTAATGAAATTGTTGTCATTGGATTTCATACGTTAAATGTGTTCTCACTAATGTTAGCTTATTTTGTACGCAAACATAGTATTGACACTGGCACAGAAACAAGCTGACAGATTAAAGAGTCCTGGACCAAATGAAATAGCAGGTGAGAATCGTGTGATAGATACCATGTGACAATCACGACAGAATGTGAATCCTTAACACGCATCATAATCATCATAATAGTTACATCAGATTTAATTGTTGCAGCTTTTATCGATATTTTCATCTTTGTAAAAAAACACCAAATCAGAATTCACAGTTGGTTGAAGATCAAGGTCTCGCTAAGCATAGAGCTCTCCTATAACCGAGTAAAGCGTCTGGGATATCATAGGGTTATGAATTTTCTGAAAATTACATGTGAAACATCTATCCATGCCCAAACTAAACTGAACAGATAATGTTCAGCACCATATCCCCATCTGGTGGAGCCGTGTGGTCAACAAGTGAATACTTGTTCAGTCTGGGAACATATATCGCCAACAACCTTCGACCTGATGCCACAATATCTGCATTATTAAGGAAATAACATTCTTGTAAGCAAGTTATGAGGTGTTTTATGCAGTGATTTTTTTAACAACAGTCAACAATGTCTATATTTTGCTAAAACAATATACATAACAACATTCAAATGTCAATATAATCAACATTAAAATATCAATATAATCTATGGACATAGTTACTACACCACAACCTGAAGATGAGCTAGTTTTCCTATTTTTTGCGGTACAAAATTTAGAAAAGTTAAAAAAATATTCTACTGTGTAAGAATTCATTGAAAATGTCTAATCTGGATTTTCTGTACAGTGATATTTAAAAACAAACCAATGGGTTTTAAGATCTTAAGGGAAGTCAAAATGATCGCACCTTAATAAGAAATAATAAAAAATAGGTCTAACTCTTGTTTGAGAAACACTTAGAAATGTTTTATCCAAATATCTTTTCAAGGAAGAATACTGTTCCAGAAACGACTCAAAGACAAAATAATGTCAAATGAGCCAAATAATTTGGGGTAAGGTAGTTTCTTCGTCCAGTTGCATCTCCCCTCCAAATCTGTAGACGTGGCCGGAAGGGGCAACATCTTGTATGCATAGAGACTGACTACTTATATGTTTTGGCTTCGTCTAGCAAACAAATATGTTGTCAACACATCAAAGCTGTTCTCATAAGTCAGGCATGTTTCTTTTTGAGACTGACAGTCTTAGCAATCTCTTCACGATGAATCTTAGTTTCAGCTAGCACCTGCTCTTAGAAATGTATCTTTCAGAATATGCGCTGGTTCTTGAAATAGTGCAGGGCATGTTACACATGGTGATTTGTTTTCCCAAAATGAAACAATTGAGTTATTTTAAAAACTTCCAATCTGATCTTGCACCCTAAAATAATAAACATTAGGCCAAAAGGAAAAACGTGTGTTTCTGGTTTCTCCACCAACCCTAATCTAGAGCCCCCAACCCTAATATTGAGCGACTGGCCTTATTCTGCAACCATAAATCCTAATCACGATACTGCAACCCTAATTTAGAGCCCCCGACCCGAATATTGAGCAACCAGCCTCATATGCAACCGTAAATCCTAATCACGATACTGCAACCCTAATAATAGAGCCCCCAACCCTAATATTGAGCGACCGGCCTCATTCTGCAACCGTAAATCCTAATACGATACTGCAACCCTAATTTAGAGCCCCCAACCCTAATATTGAGCGACCGGCCTCATTCTGCAACGGTAAATCCTAATACGATACTGCAACCCTAATTTAGAGCCCCCGACCCTAATATTGAGCGACTGGCCTTATTCTGCAACCGTAAATCCTAATCATGATACAGCAACCCTAATTTAGAGCCCCCAACCCTAATATTGAGCGACCGGCCTTATTCTGCAACCGCCAACCCTAAACTGGATCCTGCAACCCTAATAATGGAGCCCCCAACCCTTATCTGGAGCCCATAACTCAAATCTGAAAACACCGCCTCTAAATCTGTTTTCTCGTGTGATCACCGTCCTGTTATTTTCGTATTTCACTAATCCGAATCAGAGCATTTACTGCTTGACTGTAAACTATATTGTCATTTCAAAGCATAATGCAAATTACTGAAAAATAATCAAATATGCCCAATTGACCCTATTTAGGGAGGGACCGAAATAGGAAACACGCATATTTGTTTGAATGTTGTGGCCTAAGACTAGATTTTATAGTTGTAAATTTGTTTATACACTGACCGGTTTGTATATTACCGGTACTATAACATGTTTCAATGGAAGTCCAAATCACCCCTAGATAAATATGTATATATATATATCAGATAATATCTGTGACACTCCCAGAGCTAATACTAGCAAGTTGTAATTAACATTTGTTTTCAGTTTGTGTTGCAAGTCAATGATATTTTGGCAACTAAACATGATACATGGCTCAGCTGAAGTCCTTAAATAACATTATACAAACAAGCAGCTCTAGTAATATAGTTATCAAATGTTAATGATCAACAACTTCCTGATGGTAATGAAGACAAGTCTAAAAATATTTTAGAATTCGTTAGGTGGTACATGTTGTACTTTCCTGAAGACTTGGAATCAATAGCAGATGGCTTGGACGTGGCAGCCATCCCTGAATAGGATATTTCTGAGGTGTGATGACAGTTCAGATGCTTTCATAACATTGATAGATTTGACTATATTGTTGATGGCTTATCTGAGGTATTTGTAGTAAACAAATCCTCCGGCCCCTGCTGCTGATAACAATGAGGTGAAGCCAAGGAGTTTCAACAACCCTGGGACTGATGGAGCATTGCTTTCCCAGAAAGAGACGTCGAATGGCCGTGCCTTCACCTCCTGGAAAAGAAGACAGATTTCTTAGTTGTGTTTGATGTGTATGCTTAAATATAGTGCCACGGCACCGTAGCTCACCTGCAAATGTGTTCCATGGTTAACAATGTCAACAAAGACAGCCACTTATCAACAAAAGTTGCTGTCAGTGGCCATATTGAAAATCAAACCTCGTCAACAAATTGGGGTGTCAACATTGGAGGGAACAAGAAGGTGAAGTCTCATTTTAATTGGTCATGTGGTCTCTAAAAAGATGTTTACAGTGTGATGAAATGTATGTTGAGAGAATTTAGGAGCATTGTCAAAGTGCAAAGGTCATTTCAAGGTACAAAAATATGAAATATGGCCAAAAATGGAATATGTGGAGCCCAACTACACACAACAAATTTCATTACATTTTGAAGTATAATCACTGAATAACAGCCATAAAAAGCTTCTTCAATATGGCAGAAAACCAAATTCGAACGTCTTGAACAAATTCATTGATCTATCAGTTTACAGTGCAAGGAAATCCATTTTGAGAGGGACATGGTCAAAGTGTAAAGGTCAAATAAGGGTCAAAACTTATTAGAACATATCAGAACATACTAACTACCATTGTCCCATATTTCATTTCAATTGGATCAAAAATGGCTCAGTAATGGCACCAAATAGGTTTTTCAATATGTTGAAATTTAGAGTGAGTGAGTGAGTTGGGTTTAACGCCGCTTTTAACAGTATTCCAGTCATATCACGGCGTGTCAGCTTAGTGTGGGAGGAAAACCCGAAGTGATGCAGGTCTTAGACGTTTACCACTTCGGTGAAACCCACGAGCACGGGTATGGTGCTGACAAACCTAGACACATAATCGGGGCGAACCGGGATTCGAAACCCACAATCATAGGTTTCTGGCGTGCCTAAGGGACGCAACTCTGCACAGCGAATCGCGACGCCTTAGACAACTGGGCCACCCATGCCCCCTTGAAATTTAGAAGCAGATCTCTTTGACCAATTAGTGTGTCATCAGTGGTTGGAACACGGATGGGAAGTTTCATCTTCATTGGTCGAGTGGTTTCTGAGAAGATGCTTACGACAGATGGTAGGCAAACAGGCAATGACATAATCTCACTTCACCTTCTATTCCCTGAAGGTTTATACTTTCATCATATTAAAGAAAAAAATAATAATACCGTATTCGACGTAATAAGCACCCAGGGCGCTCTCAAAATTAGAAATAGGGGGCTCTTATTAGAATATTATTTTGGTGGAATAAAACAGAGTTGAAAGATAAATTTCGTGGTTTCCAGAATTGAATTGCCCATAATTAAGGGTGCATATAACACACGAGCGCATGTTATACACGATTGAATAAGTCTTGTGTACATTGATCAATCGGAAGGGGTGCTAATTGGGATTGTTCACTTGCCAATATATTAGCAAATATCGCCGTGGGCACTTATTAGAGCGGGGCGCATATTACGTCGAATACAGTAATCTTGGTTCTCAGGCACCGCCCCCATCATCATAAAGTCTTGACAAACATTTCGTCTTTATGTCCATTTTCAACAAACAAAAATCCTAAAATATTCTACATCTCGAACACACGAACCAGGCAGTGAATTGCTACAATACTGAAAAACAATGAGATCACTGGACATGAAGATTTACAAATTCAATGGTGTTTGTGTACTGTATGTTGGACAATATGTCATCCACAGAGATTAAGATTACAAGTGTACTAGTCCCGAGTATTAGCAAGGGTGAGGTGAGGTGAATTAGGGTTTAATGTCGCGTCCAAGATTATTGCACTTATATAGCGACGTGCATGCACGTGTGTGTGTGGCTGCTTGTACTAGTCCGGACTGATGCCGATTTATAGTGCTAGCTCACTGAGATACCATGCCGCAGTTTAAAATGAATACCCCACTCAGACACAGTATACTGACTCCGAGCCGACCAGTCCTTGTTTTAGCCCCTTAATGCCGAGCGCCAGATAGGGAAACAACAAGTACCATCTTTTAACGTCTTTTGGTATGACGCGGCCGGGGATCGAACTCCGGACCTTCCGCTCTCTGGGCGGACGCTCTACCACAAGACCACTGAGGCGGTCTATTAGCAAGGGACAATGAAAACATATTGCATGGGGGACATAAATTTGATATGAATTTGAAACAAGTTTTGTATCCTATTTACTACAAATGATTATGCCATGTTCATGTGTCCTCATAAGGAGAGTAAAGCGCATGAATACAACAGGTGTAAAATGTAAACATGGAGCCGCATCACATCCAGTATCCATACAGTATCATCAAAGAGACCGCTGAATATTTTGGGAAATCCTAGCTAATGGCAGACTTTTGTCACAACAATATTGCCTTCATTTTCGTTTTTGTGATATGAACATATATTACATCGAATGAACAAGATGTTTTATGTTGAAATGACTGAAATAATGTGAACAAACAGCTCAGCAAGCTGGTACTTGATTTATTGAATGTCATCATGCCCTAATGAATATTGATGACGAATATACAAGAATACCATTGAATCATGGCTGAAGTCAATCCCTGCACCGATATTACAGAAAACTATGGTTATAACGAACTCAAAAGGACCACTAATTTTAGTTAGTAATAACCGTAGTTCGTTATAAGCATATATACAGCATACATACAACAAATGACGGAACTAAAAAATCTGTTCGTTATATCGGTCAGTTCGTTATAAGCGTGTTCATCATAAATGTAGTTTGTTGTACCCAGAAACTTGAAACACCACATCGATTGAATGAAGTCAATCTCATTAAAATCAGATCTTAGTTCTCCCTACCGCTAAACAAAGATCTGAGGACATCCCATTACGGGTCACGTCAGAATGACCTTTCGCGAATTTTGACCGACCAATGACATGACTGACAAGAAATCAACATTGGCCAATCAAAAGGCAGCTTTCTCGAGCTTTACGACACTAGTTTCCAACTGGCGACTACGCTTCGAAACATATTTTGACGTGTTCTCGATTAAAAAATTTAAACTGATAAGAAGACCATTCTGGAATGGCTCATAGATGGCCTAGATTGCATGGATATAATCATAAAACCTGTAACTGTCGTTCGGAATACCCCGTGTTAAATGTATCGTGGTTGCATGATTAGAAAACACATTCCGACTGTCACTTTCATGATCTGGTAAGCGACGCTCTGATTGGTTGGATGAAAGGTCGTTCTGACGTGACCCGTAATCGGATGTCCTTAGATCTTTGTTTAGCGATAGCGAAAACTAAAATCTGATTTTAATGAGATTGAATGAAGTGGAGCTCTGACCATGTGATTCACTTAGGTCGTGGACTAATGTAAATGTCGAAGTGAAAAAACTGCATTGGTTATTCTCAAACAGTACTCTTTTCAACCTCCCTTCTATACTCAAAGGCTTCAATTAGGGTTTGGCGTCTCTGCATGAACCACAGCCCTACTGGCTCCTTAGTTGGTCAGACTCGCTGACTTGGTTGATGTTTGCATCGTATCCCAATGGCATGGATCGTTGCTCATAATATCAAACACTGGATTGTCTGGTCCAGATTTGATTATTCATTTAAGTGGAATATTGCTGAGAGCAGCGCGAAGAAAAAAACTAAAAACATCTTACCATATCTTCTGGCTCTGCCTGCCAAATTTGGTCAGCCCTGATCTTGCCCATGGTATGAAGGATCTGTGAACAGAAAGGAACGCAGCATTATAAAAGTGAGAAGAGGTACATTGCCTGACAAGTGTGGTGCATGTTTCTCCATCTTCCCGAAGCAAGGGCGTTAACTGACTATAAAAGTCCTGTTTCCAACCTTGCTGAACTAGGCTGGAATTCCGCAGTAACATTGGACTAACGACTCTATGCATAGCCGAATCAAAATCGCCTGATGAACTAGACATCCAGTTCACAAACAACATGGATGACAAAGTGCAGACTTCGGTCGCCTGCAGGATTTGCAAAGCATGTGTACCCTCAAATGGGCATTGACAGACACTTTGCAAATCTTTTCATGTTTTTAATCACGGTGCTCCAGTGATTTGATGCACTTCACGATGTAAGACCCAGTTTTATCACACTCAGATCTTGATTATCCATCAGATCTTCTTGACAAGGCACCACCATTTTGTTTGTAGCAAGTGCAAGTGAAACAAGTATTTGTCACAGAAGTGACGAAATGTCCCCCGCCTGTATATACACCAAAATACCAAATATGATGACAATCCAGCGATTAATAAGTTGTTCGAGATATCGCGGCAACACCGTTTTCCAACTCCAAAAGCAGATTTGCCTGCTGTGACCTTGAAAATAGGGTCAAGGTCACCAAAACCGACTGGTGTCTGCGGTGTCTGTATATACACCATAGTTCCAAATATTAAGACAATCCTGCGATTAGTTCTTGAGATATCGCGGCAACACCGTTTTCCAACTCCAAAAGCAGATTTACCTGCTGTGACCTTGAAAATGGGGTCAAGGTCACCAAAACCGACTGGTGTCTGCGGATTCTGTATATACACCATAGTTCCAAACATGAAGACAATCCTGCGATTAGTTCTTGAGATATCGCGGCAACACCGTTTTCCAACTCCAAAAGCAGATTTGCCTGCTGTGACCTTGAAAATGGGCTCAAGGTCACCAAAACCGACTTGTGTCTGCGGAGTCTGTATATACACCATAGTTCCAAATATGAAGACAATCCAGTGTTTAGTTCTTGAGATATCGCGGCAACACCGTTTTCCAACTCCAAAAGCAGATTTGCCTGCTGTGACCTTGAAAATTGGGTCAAGGTCACCAAAACCGACTGGTGTCTGCGGTGTCTGTATATACACAATAGTTCCAAACATGAAGACAATCCTGCGATTAGTTCTTGAGATATCGCGGCAACACCGTTTTCCAACTCCAAAAGCAGATTTACCTGCTGTGACCTTGAAAATGGGGTCAAGGTCACCAAAACCGACTGGTGTCTGCGGAGTCCGTATATACACCCTAGTACCAAATAGGAAGACAATCCAGAGATTAGTTCTTGAGATATCGCGGCAACACCGTTTTCCAACTCCAAAAGCAGATATGCCTGCTGTGACCTTGAAAATGGGGTCAAGGTCACCAAAACCGACTGGTGTCTGCGGAGTCTGTATATACACCATAGTTCCAAATATGAAGACAATCCAGTGTTTAGTTCTTGAGATATCGCGGCAACAAACAGGTGGGATGTACGGACGGACGTACGGACGGTCGTGAATACTATATCCCCCGCTTCGCGCTTTCGCGCGGCGGGGGACAATGAAACATGTGATTGGTCAATAGGAGGGACATAGAAGGGACATACCGTATTCGACATAATAAGCGCCCCGCTCTAATAAGCGCCCACGGCGATATTTGCTAATATATTGGCTAGTGAACAATCCCAATCAGCACCCCTTCCGATTGATCAATGTACACAGGACTTTTTTATTCGTGTATAATACGCACTCGTGTGTTATATCACCCTTAATTATGGGCAATTAAATTCTGGAAAAATACATCCGTCGCATGTAAACATTTCAGGCTGTTAGCTTAAACCACGAAATTTACAATCTTTCAACTCAAAATAATATTCTAATAAGCGCCCCCTGTTTCTAATTTTGAGAGCGCCCTGGGCGCTTATTACGTTGAATATGGTACTCGTAATAGCCATTGGTGGCACTACGATCGAGACCAGAAACTCCAGCCTAGTTCGGCAAGGGTGGAAAGTGGACAATGGTGACTGCCTACCTCCCTGGCTGCTCGCTCCCCGGCCTGCACCGCGCCGTCCATGTAGCCAGACCACTGAGTGGCCGTCTCTGTCCCCGCAAAGTACATCCGGCCAATCGGCCGCCTCAGATAACTGAAGAATAACAACATCAGTGTACAAGAACAAGATGATGTACACTTTTCTGCCATCCCTCCCCAAATTCTTGTCAAAATAATTCATGCCTCTCCCAAACTCGAATCCAAAATTTGCATCTGTCTAAAATTTCTTGATTAACTGTCAGGTAATTCATAACTCCTCAATTGGTAACCTCCAAATTTCACTAAGTAAAACTATGACACCTGATTCCAAGCACATATGGTTAAACTGCAGTGAATTCCAATGTTTTCGTTTCATCAGAATGACGAATCGTTATCATAGCTTCCACATCAACAGGTGATACAGGTGGTCCAGTCGTCTAAGGCCGCAACTCGCTATGGAGAGTTGCATCCCTTCCACACACCATAAACCTATAATTGGGGCTACAAATGCCTGTTCACCCCGATTACATTCCAGCACCATAGCAGTGCTCTGGATTTCACCAAAGTGGTAAACGTCTGAGACCTGCATCACTTTCCTCCCACATTAATCTGACACGCCATGATATAACTGGAATACTGTTAGAAGCAGCTAAAAACTAACCCAATTACTCTACATAAGAAAGGTGAAAAAGTAACCACTGATGCAGGAGTGAGGACTTCACTCTTGGTTTTGGTCTATGAAAAAGGGGCTACCAACACTTAAGAAATAGAAAAATAAATCTACAATGCAGGAATGCTTTGCTGATGCAGACTACCACAAAAACAACCACAGCCCTGCTGCCTTATTCCTCTGATGTACTCACCTGCCAAACTTGGTGAGGAAGCCAGGAGGCATCATCGTCGTGTAGCATCCTCCGGACCACTGCTCCCCCAGCCAGTCCTTCTCTTCATAATGCACAGGCTACATCCCCAATAGATACATAGGTAGTCAATACAGCTAGATAATATATGCAATATTACATCGTGTAGCATCCTCCGGACCACTGCTCCCCGAGCAAATCCTTCTCCTCATAATGCACAGGCTACATCCCCAATAGATACATAGGTAGTCAATACAGCTAGATAATATATGCAATATTACATCATGGTCGTATAGCATCCTCCGGACCACTGCTCCCCCAGCCAGTCCTTCTCTTCATAATGCACAGGCTACATCCCCAATAGATACATAGGTAGTCAATACAGCTAGATAATATATGCAATATTACATCATCGTCGTGTAGCATCCTCCGGACCACTGCTCCCCCAGCCAATCCTTCTCCTCATAATGCACAGGCTACATCCCCAATAGATACAAGGTAGTCAATACAGCTAGATAATATATGCAATATTACATCATGGTCGTGTAGCATCCTCCGGACCACTGCTTCCCCAGCCAATCCTTCTCCTCATAATGCACAGGCTACATCCCCAATAGATACAAGGTAGTCAATACAGCTAGATAATATATGCAATATTACATCATGGTCGTGTAGCATCCTCCGGACCACTGCTCCCCCAGCCAGTCCTTCTCCTCATAATGCACAGGCTACATCCCCAATAGATACATAGGTAGTCAATACAGCTAGATAATATATGCAATATTACATCATGTAGCATCCTCCGGACCACTGCTCCCCCAGCCAGTCCTTCTCTTCATAATGCACAGGCTACATCCCCAATAGATACATAGGTAGTCAATACAGCTAGATAATATATGCAATATTACATCGTGTAGCATCCTCCGGACCACTGCTCCCCCAGCCAGTCCTTCTCCTCATAATGCACAGGCTACATCCCCAATAGATACATAGGTAGTCAATACAGCTAGATAATATATGTAATATTACATCGTGTAGCATCCTCCGGACCACTGCTCCCCTAGCCAGTCCTTCTCTTCATAATGCACAGGCTACATCCCCAATAGATACATAGGTAGTCAATACAGCTAGATAATATATGTAATATTACATCATGGTCGTGTAGCATCCTCCGGACCACTGCTCCCCCAGCCAGTCCTTCTCTTCATAATGCACAGGCTACATCCCCAATAGATACATAGGTAGTCAATACAGCTAGATAATATATGCAATATTACATCGTGTAGCATCCTCCGGACCACTGCTCCCCCAGCCAGTCCTTCTCTTCATAATGCACAGGCTACATCCCCAATAGATACATAGGTAGTCAATACAGCTAGATAATATATGTAATATTACATCATGGTCGTGTAGCATCCTCCGGACCACTGCTCCCCCAGCCAGTCCTTCTCCTCATAATGCACAGGCTACATCCCCAATAGATACATAGGTAGTCAATACAGCTAGATAATATATGCAATATTACATCGTGTAGCATCCTCCGGACCACTGCTCCCCCAGCCAGTCCTTCTCCTCATAATGCACAGGCTACATCCCCAATAGATACAAGGTAGTCAATACAGCTAGATAATATATGCAATATTACATCGTGTAGCATCCTCCGGACCACTGCTCCCCCAGCCAGTCCTTCTCCTCATAATGCACAGGCTACATCCCCAATAGATACATAGGTAGTCAATACAGCTAGATAATATATGCAATATTACATCGTGTAGCATCCTCCGGACCACTGCTTCCCCAGCCAGTCCTTCTCCTCATAATGCACAGGCTACATCCCCAATAGATACATAGGTAGTCAATACAGCTAGATAATATATGCAATATTACATCATGGTCTTGTAGCATCCTCCGGACCACTGCTCCCCCAGCCAGTCCTTCTCCTCATAATGCACAGGCTACATCCCCAATAGATACATAGGTAGTCAATACAGCTAGATAATATATGCAATATTACATCATGTAGCATCCTCCAGACCACTGCTCCCCCAGCCAGTCCTTCTCCTCATAATGCACAGGCTACATCCCCAATAGATACATAGGTAGTCAATACAGCTAGATAATATATGCAATATTACATCATGGTCGTGTAGCATCCTCCGGACCACTGCTTCCCCAGCCAGTCCTTCTCCTCATAATGCACAGGCTACATCCCCAATAGATACATAGGTAGTCAATACAGCTAGATAATATATGCAATATTACATCATGGTCTTGTAGCATCCTCCGGACCACTGCTCCCCCAGCCAGTCCTTCTCCTCATAATGCACAGGCTACATCCCCAATAGATACATAGGTAGTCAATACAGCTAGATAATATATGCAATATTACATCATGTAGCATCCTCCAGACCACTGCTCCCCCAGCCAGTCCTTCTCCTCATAATGCACAGGCTACATCCCCAATAGATACATAGGTAGTCAATACAGCTAGATAATATATGCAATATTACATCATGGTCGTGAAGCATCCTCCGGACCACTGCTTCCCCAGCCAGTCCTTCTCCTCATAATGCACAGGCTACATCCCCAATAGATACATAGGTAGTCAATACAGCTAGATAATATATGCAATATTACATCATGGTCTTGTAGCATCCTCCGGACCACTGCTCCCCCAGCCAGTCCTTCTCCTCATAATGCACAGGCTACATCCCCAATAGATACATAGGTAGTCAATACAGCTAGATAATATATGCAATATTACATCATGTAGCATCCTCCAGACCACTGCTCCCCCAGCCAGTCCTTCTCCTCATAATGCACAGGCTACATCCCCAATAGATACATAGGTAGTCAATACAGCTAGATAATATATGCAATATTACATCATGGTCGTGTAGCATCCTCCGGACCACTGCTTCCCCAGCCAGTCCTTCTCCTCATAATGCACAGGCTACATCCCCAATAGATACATAGGTAGTCAATACAGCTAGATAATATATGCAATATTACATCATGGTCTTGTAGCATCCTCCGGACCACTGCTCCCCCAGCCAGTCCTTCTCCTCATAATGCACAGGCTACATCCCCAATAGATACATAGGTAGTCAATACAGCTAGATAATATATGCAATATTACATCATGTAGCATCCTCCAGACCACTGCTCCCCCAGCCAGTCCTTCTCCTCATAATGCACAGGCTACATCCCCAATAGATACATAGGTAGTCAATACAGCTAGATAATATATGCAATATTACATCATGGTCGTGAAGCATCCTCCGGACCACTGCTTCCCCAGCCAGTCCTTCTCCTCATAATGCACAGGCTACATCCCCAATAGATACATAGGTAGTCAATACAGCTAGATAATATATGCAATATTACATCATGGTCGTGTAGCATCCTCCGGACCACTGCTCCCCCAGCCAGTCCTTCTCTTCATAATGCACAGGCTACATCCCCAATAGATACATAGGTAGTCAATACAGCTAGATAATATATGCAATATTACATCATGTAGCATCCTCCGGACCACTGCTCCCCCAGCCAGTCCTTCTCTTCATAATGCACAGGCTACATCCCCAATAGATACATAGGTAGTCAATACAGCTAGATAATATATGCAATATTACATCATGTAGCATCCTCCAGACCACTGCTCCCCCAGCCAGTCCTTCTCCTCATAATGCACAGGCTACATCCCCAATAGATACATAGGAAGTCAATACAGCTAGATAATATATGTAATATTACATCATGGTCGTATAGCATCCTCCGGACCACTGCTCCCCGAGCAAATCCTTCTCCTCATAATGCACAGGCTACATCCCCAATAGATACATAGGTAGTCAATACAGCTAGATAATATATGCAATATTACATCATGGTCGTGTAGCATCCTCCGGACCACTGCTCCCCCAGCCAGTCCTTCTCCTCATAATGCACAGGCTACAATTATGACCAGATTTCTCAATGCACTGTCCAGTCAGCTGAATTTCTGTGCTACTACAGGTATGTATACAGTGGAATCTATCAAAGCCAATCTCATTTGGGACAAACATTTTAGTCTGGATTCTCTATTAAAATGAGGCACATCAAAATATTCCTTCAACAAATATTCTGAAATGCATTTTACCATTTTCCAAAAACATCTGTATACTAATCAGAAATCACTTACATGCAATGCCTCATCAGTCTGAAAGACCTTGGAGTATAAGTGAGCTATTCTTGACTTTCGTTCGTCTGGAGTCAGCTCCACGTATCGCCTTGCCTTATCTGCCAAGATGAACCTGGAAATACAATCCACAGTTGATTCATCGCCATCTCAAAGTGGTCCTGAAGTATTGGAAAGGCAGGAGCTGCCACTATCTGTATCCAAACAGTACATTCATGAATTAAAAAAAGAAATTGAAATCCAATGCTCCATCCTGTCGTCACTGATGCTGCAGTTGAAGCACCAGTCTGCAAATGTTGCCTCAGCTGATAATAGACCACACATAAACACTTAAATCTACTGAAAACGATGCAAAAGTTTGGCTCGCAGACTCAAAAGTTTATGGCATAGACTGAAGTACAAGAATTGTTGCAAAGAAATTACAAGAACACTATTGTCAGCATTCTCATATTTTCAACGTTCCAGATGATGAGATTCTTCATTTGACAAGTACTATGTACATCTATTTGAGATGTTTTAAGAACATTCCATTTGACAAGTATTAAGTACATTCCATTTGACAAGTATTAAGTACATTCTATTTGACAAGTATTAAGTACATTCTATTTGACAAGTATTAAGTACATTCCATTTGACAAGTATTAAGTACATTCTATTTGACAAGTATTAAGTACATTCTATTTGACAAGTATTAAGTACATTCTATTTGACAAGTATTAAGTACATTCCATTTGACAAGTATTAAGTACATTCTATTTGACAAGTATTAAGTACATTCTATTTGACAAGTATTAAGTACATTCCATTTGACAAGTATTAAGTACATTCTATTTGACAAGTATTAAGTACATTCTATTTGACAAGTATTAAGTACATTCTATTTGACAAGTATTAAGTACATTCTATTTGACAAGTATTAAGTACATTCTATTTGACAAGTATTAAGTACATTCTATTTGACAAGTATTAAGTACATTCTATTTGACAAGTATTAAGTACATTCCATTTGACAAGTATTAAGTACATTCCATTTGACAAGTATTAAGTACATTCTATTTGACAAGTATTAAGTACATTCTATTTGACAAGTATTAAGTACATTCAATTTGACAAGTATTAAGTACATTCTATTTGACAAGTATTAAGTACATTCTATTTGACAAGTATTAAGTACATTCTATTTGACAAGTATTAAGTACATTCTATTTGACAAGTATTAAGTACATTCTATTTGACAAGTATTAAGTACATTCTATTTGACAAGTATTAAGTACATTCTATTTGACAAGTAGTAAGTACATTCTATTTGACAAGTATTAAGTACATTCTATTTGACAAGTATTAAGTACATTCTATTTGACAAGTATTAAGTACATTCTATTTGACAAGTATTAAGTACATTCTATTTGACAATTATTAAGTACATTCCATTTGACAAGTATTAAGTACATTCCATTTGACAAGTATTAAGTACATTCTATTTGACAAGGGATAAACATTAAGTGCATTGTCCAAGAAATCTGCATCTGCAAAGCACAAAACACACCAGATTAATGAATTAATGACAAATTTGTAGGTAACTGTAATGTATGTACCCTGCAAGAATTGCTATGAAGCCATATGAAATCTGGAAATAGTTGGACAAAAATTAAACCGATGTGCAGGCCCAAGCTTCACAAAGGGATTGTAGCACTACAACTGCCTTAACTTCCATACTTTAACACAGGCTTCAACATGAAGCTAAGATCACTTCATGTATGACGCCCTGTGTGTCTTACCCCATAAGTGCTGGGTGTGATCCGTCGGGCATCACATGGTCCAGGGTGAACCCCACCAGCCCATCCTTGTCATCTATAGCGGAGGAGCCACACAGCCCTGAAACAACAGGTAACCACACATTACAGGGTTAGAATGAGTGTCTGTCTGTCTGTCTGTCTGTCCAACTGACTGACTCTGAGTCAGTGAGTGACTGAGGATGGTTTGGATGCTGAATATGCATGAGTGAGTAAATGTGTGAATGTTTGTTTGTTTGTTTGCTTGTAGTTTAACTCTGCAGTCAGCAATTTTCCAGCTATACAACGGCAGTCTGTAAATAATCAAGTCTGGACCAAACAATCCAGTGATTGACATTTTGTGAATGAGCATACGAGTGAGCGAGAGAGTTTTTAAGGCCCCATCGAACATTATTCCAGTTATGTCACCATGTGTCAGCTTACTTATATGGAACCACAATCATAGGTTCCTTGCATGCCTAAGGGATGCAACTCTGCAGAGACAAATTGCAGCACCTTAGATGGCTGTGCCACCTGTGCCCCGAGTGAGTGACTGAGTGAGAATTGGTGTTTGATGTTCGACTAATTTCAGTCTCATGCTGTTCACTTATTGGTTAACTGTTAACTCCAGTACAGCAAATATATTCTTCATCTAAAACTAGAAGCTCTAGTCATAATGACAACACATGCATACATGCATACATAATAACTGATGCATATGGGGTTCTTTTCATTTCCAGTATTGCCTTAATTGGGGTCGAAATAAATATTCTTGATGTCTAAGAACAGATTCTGAATGCAATGTTGGTCAGTACCTTTTACAAGTAGCACCCTTGGTCTTTTAACACTTTCACTTGTCAAATCCAGGGGTAGAATAGGTCTTCAGCAACCCATGCTTGCCATAAAAGGCGACTATGTTTGTTGTAAGAGGTGACTAACGGGATTGGGTGGTCAGGCTCGCTGACTAGGCTGATGCATGTCATTGTATCCCAACTGCGTGGAACGATTCCCATGATGTCAATCACTGGATTGACTGGTCCAGACTAGATTATATACAGACCGCCGTCATATAGCTGAAATATTGCTGATTGCGGCATTCAACAACAAACATCACATCACATCATTTTATCTTGTCTGTACATTGGTTCTGAGTACTGACCTTTCCGTCTCCAGAATGGTGTGCTATAGTACATGAATGTTTTGATGACCGATCCCATTGGCGCCCTCTGGAGAAGCTGGTTGCGCAGACTTGGAAGTGGTGGGTCGTAGATGATCTTGTTCTGGATGGGCAAGGGGGCTGCTATGATCGCATACTTTGCCTGTCATGAAGAAAATCATGTTTAAAGAGAGTACAACAAGCACAAAACATCAGAGAATAAACCTAGCAACAGTGGAAATACACTATACAAATATTGAAAGGATACTGAAATATGGAATTCATCAGTTTTGTGTATCGTGCAATAAGACATATATTGTTTTGTTCTTTGGTTGTTTAACTCAGCAATATTCAAGCAATATGAGTCGGGATCAGAGAAGCTAGTGTGGGGTACTACCTGATTGGCTAATACAAGTGTGGGGTACTACCTGATTGGCTACTACAAGTGTGGAGAAACTACCTAAATTGCTTCTACAACAAGTGTGGGGTACTACCTGATTGGCTACTACAACAAGTGTGGGGTACTACCTGATTGGCTACTACAACAAGTGTGGGGTACTACCTGATTGGCTGCTACAACAAGTGTGGGGTACTACCTGATTGGCCACTACAACAAGTGTGGGGTACTACCTGATTGGCCACTACAACAAGTGTGGGGTACTACCTGATTGGCTGCTACAACAAGTGTGGGGTACAACCTGATTGGCTGCTACAACAAGTGTTGTTTTTACGTTTTGTTTCAGTTAAGTTACATATTATTTGCTTTTATTCGCTAGAGAACGGAAGCTATATAGAGGATTCATCACGAGTGTTTTTTAATATTGGAAATATCAACCGAGTCTTAGTTAATCGGTATTTGCCGAGCCTTTGACGAGGCAAATACCGATTAACGGGACGAGGTTGATATTTCCCATATTAAAAAACACGAGTGATGAATTCTATTTATCATTTTCACATTTTTGCTTCCAAATTAAGGAATAATTGCATTAAACATTAACATCAGCAACTTGTCGAAATCTTACGTATAGATCGTGCGTAGTGATACATGTTTTCCATAGCCATGTAAACCAAAATAAACAATTCGCTGAGAAAAAAAGTTCCTCGGATTATTTTAAACAAAATACTTGAACAGACTTTTGCAGAATAATTGAAACTTTAATAACGGTAACAACAACGATTCTGTGTAATCTGATTATATCTCTGGTGTAACTTCACTTATAATATATAGTTTCAAATCAAACCGCTCGCTCTTCCGGTTATCTAATTTGCATATCTAATTTGCATACTTATGTCATTGGGGTATGACATACATGTTTTTATGTCATAAGCTTATGTCATGGATAAATGCTTAAGTAAAATGATAAATCAGCATACACGCTGAACTGTTATACATAGACATAGTTATGTCATCAAAAGGTTCCTATTATCGGGTACTCAAGCACGAGCCAAGTTTCATCCCCCGGTACTCAAGTATAAGAATGGTCCCTGTTGAAGCCCTACCTCCAAGAGAATCAGTCTAGACAAGTATTTGTCACAGAGTGACGAAATATCCCCCGCCATATACACCATAGTACCAAATATGAAGACAATCCAGCGATTAGTTCTTGAGATATTGTGGCAACACCGTTTTCAAACTCCAAAAACAGATTTGCCTGCTGTGACCTTGAAAATGGGGTCAAGGTCACCAAATCTGAAAGGTGTATGCGGTGTCTGTATATACATTATAGTTCCAAATATGAAGACAATCCAGCGATTAGTTCTTGAGATATCGCGGCAACACCGTTTTCCAACTCTAAAAGCAGATTTGTCTGCTGTGATCTTGAAAATGGGATCAAGGTCACCAAAACTGACTGGTGTCTGCGGAGTCTGTATATACACCATAGTTCCAAATATGAAGACAATCCAGTGTTTAGTTCTTGAGATATCGCGGCAACACCGTTTTCCAACTCTAAAAGCAGATTTGTCTGCTGTGACCTTGAAAATGGGATCAAGGTCACCAAAACCGACTGGTGTCTGCGGAGTCTGTATATACACCATAGTTCCAAATATGAAGACAATCCAGTGTTTAGTTCTTGAGATATCGCGGCAACAAACAGATGGGACGTACGGACGGACGTACGGACGGTCGTGAATACTATATCCCCCGCTTCGCGCTTTCGCGCGGCGGGGGATAAGAACATGCAAGTCAATCGAAAGCTGTCACTCACTGTGTATCGGTTGCCGTTCACATCTTGCACTACAACTTCCGAGGGCTTATGTTCTATTTTCGACACAGGGTGGTTCAACAACACTCGATCTGTAAATGGAAGACATCACATACATATACATAACCAAACCTTCCCTGTAGTAGTTGTATAGACTATCATAATCACAATAGTGTGTGAGTGAGTTGGGTTTAACGCTGCTTTTAACAGTATTCTAGTTATATCACGGCATGTCAGCTTAATGTGAGAGGAAAGCCCGAAGTGATGCAGGTCTCAGACATTTACCACTTCGGTGAAACCCACGAGCACAGGTTTGGTGCTGACAAACCTAGAAACATAATCAGTGCGAACAGGGATTCGAGCCCACAATCATAGGTTTCTGGCACGCCCAAGGGACGCAACTCTGCAGTGCAAATCGCGGCGCCTTAGACAACTTGGCTACCCGTGCCCCCCCATCATCAAAATAAGGCCAATTCAAACAAATTATATATTCAGTGATATCCTTAATCTCTTATTGGTTTGTTGACGACCTGGAAGATATAAAGTGTGCATGACAATTCCATGCAATCATAAAAGACTTTTTCTTTTGAAACAATTATTGGTAAAATTCAGAACTAAAAGGCATACACTTACCATTGCACAGGTTGTGTATGTTTGGATTCAAATGGGCAATAAACCTCAATGCAACTCAACATGCTAGGAATGATTTTAATGGGTGAGGTGAGATGAAATGGGAATTAATGTCGCATCGAAGATTATTGCACTTTATAAGCGACATGCATACATGTTTGCGTGTATGTGTGTGTGTGTGTGTGGGGGGGGGGGGGGGGGGGGGATGGTTGACCAAGTCTGGACTAATAAATGCTGATTCCATAGTGCTTGCCCACTGAGATACCATGCCGCAGTTTAACATGAATGAATACCCCACTCAGACAGCATAGCAAGCTGGCCAGTCGCTGCCTTTTGATGCTGAGCACCAGGCAGGGTACTGGAAAAACATAACTTATCCTCAGGTTTAACCCTGAACAAGGAATAGTTCACTGGACATCCTGGATGTCGTGAAAGAAAGTGGTGTGAAAATAACATTAGGTTGTACTGCTCCACCTGAAGGATTATCTTGTCACTAACAAAAATCTGCAGATGACACTGGTCCAGTGGCCTTTATAATCTGCAGATGACACTGGTCTAGACACCTTTATTATCTGCAGATGGCACTGGTCTAGTCACCTTTATAATCTGCAGATGGAACTGGTCTAGTCACCTTTATTATCTGCAGATGACACTGGTCTAGACACCTTTATTATCTGCAGATGGCACTGGTCTAGTCACCTTTATATTCTGCAGATGGCACTGGTCTAGTCACCTTTATTATCTGCAGATGACACTGGTCTAGTCACCTTTATTATCTGCAAATGGCACTGGTCTAGACACCTTTATAATCTGCAGATGGCACTGGTCTAGTCACCTTTATAATCTGCAGATGACACTGGTCTAGTCACCTTTATTATCTGCAAATGGCACTGGTCTAGACACCTTTATAATCTGCAGATGGCACTGACCCAGTCATCTTTATAATCTGCAGATGACACTGGTCTAGACACCTTTATACTCTGCAGATGACACTGGTCCAGTCACCTTTATAATCTGCAGATGACACTGGTCTAGACACCTTTATAATCTGCAGATGGCACTGGTCTAGACACCTTTATAATCTGCAGATGACACTGGTCTAGTCACCTTTATAATCTGCAGATGGAACTGGTCTAGTCACCTTTATTATCTGCAGATGACACTGGTCTAGACACCTTTATTATCTGCAGATGGCACTGGTCTAGTCACCTTTATAATCTGCAGATGGCACTGGTCTAGTCACCTTTATAATCTGCAGATGGCACTGGTCTAGTCACCTTCATAATCTGCAGATCGCACTGGTCCAGTCACCTTTATAATCTGCAGATGGCACTGACATAGTCACCTTCATAATCTGCAGATGGCACTGGTCTAGACACCTTTATAATCTGCAGATGGCACTGGTCTAGACACCTTTATAATCTGCAGATGGCACTGGTCTAGACACCTTTATAATCTGCAGATGGCACTGGTCACGTGACCTTCATAATCTGCAGATGACACTGGTCCAGTCACCTTCATAATCTGCAGATGGCACTGGTCTAGTCACCTTTATAATCTGCAGATGACACTGGTCTAGTCACCTTCATAATCTGCAGATGGCACTGGTCTAGTCACCTTCATAATCTGCAGATGACACTGGTCCAGTCACCTTTATAATCTGCAGATGGCATTGGTCTAGTCACCTTCATAATCTGCAGATGACACTGGTCTAGTCACATTCATAATCTGCAGATGGCACTGGTCTAGACACCTTTATAATCTGCAGATGACACTGGTCGAGACACCTTTATAATCTGCAGATGACACTGGTCTAGTCACCATTATAATCTGCAGATGGCACTGGTCTAGACACCTTTATTATCTGCAATTGACACTGGTCTAGACACCTTTATAATCTGCAGATGGCACTGGTCTAGTCACCATTATAATCTGCAGATGGCACTGGTCTAGACACCTTTATACTCTGCAGATGACACTGGTCTATTCACCTTTATAATCTGCAGATGGAACTGACCTATTCACCTTTATAATCTGCAGATGACATTGACATAGTCACCTTTATAATCTGCAGATGGCACTGCCCCATTCACCTTTATACTCTGCAGATGACACTGGTCTAGTCACCTTTATAATCTGCAGATGACACTGACATATTCATCTTTATAATCTGCAGATGACACTGACATATTCACCTTTATAATCTGCAGATGACACTGACATAGTCACCTTTATAATCTGCAGATGGCACTGGTCTATTCACCCTTATAATCTGCAGATGACACTGACATAGTCACCTTTATAATCTGCAGATGGCACTGACCTATTCACCTTTATAATCTGCAGATGACACTGGTCTAGTAACCTTTATAATCTGCAGATGGCACTGGTCTAGACACCTTTATACTCTGTAGATGACACTGGTCTAGTCACCTTTATAATCTGCAGATGACACTGGTCTAGTCACCTTTATACTCTGCAGATGACACTTGTCTAGTCACCTTTATAATCTGCAGGTGGCACTGGTCTAGACACCTTTATACTCGGCACATGACACTGGTCTAGTCACCTTTATAATCTGCAGATTGCACTGACATAGTCACCTTTATAATCTGCAGATGACACTGGTCTAGTCACCATTATAATCTGCATATGGCACTGGTCTAGACACCTTTAAAATCTGCAGATGGCACTGACATATTCACCTTTATAATCTGCAGATGACACTGACATAGTCACCTTTATAATCTGCAGATGGCACTGACCTATTAACCTTTATACTGTGCAGATGACACTGACATAGTCACCTTTATACTCTGTAGATGACACTGGTCTAGTCACCTTTATACTCTGCAGATGGCACTGACATAGTCACCTTTATAATCTGCAGATGACACTGGTCTAGTCACCATTATAATCTGCATATGGCACTGGTCTAGACACCTTTAAAATCTGCAGATGGCACTGACCTATTCACCTTTATAATCTGCAGATGACACTGACATAGTCACCTTTATAATCTGCAGATGGCACTGACCTATTAACCTTTATACTTTGCAGATGACACTGACATAGTCACCTTTATACTCTGTAGATGACACTGGTCTAGTCACCTTTATAATCTGCAGATGACACTGGTCTAGACACCTTTATACTCTGCAGATGGCACTGGTCTAGACACCTTTATACTCTGCAGATGACACTGGTCTAGTCACCATTATAATCTGCAGATGGCACTGGTCTAGACACCATTATAATCTGCAGATGGCACTGGTCTAGACACCTTTATAATCTGCAGATGAAACTGACATAGTCACCTTTATAATCTGGAGATGGCACTGACCTATTCACCTTTATACTCTGCAGATGGCACTGACCTATTCACCTTTATACTTTGCAGATGGCACTGACCTATTCACCTTCATAATCTGCAGATGACACTGGTCTAGTCACCTTTATAATCTGCAGATGGCACTGGTCCAGTCACCTTTATACTCGGCAGATGACACTGGTCTAGTCACCTTTATAATCTGCAGATGACACTGTTCCAGTCACCTTCATAATCTGCAGATGACACTAGTCTAGTCACCTTCATAATCTGCAGATGACACTGGTTTAGTCACCTTTATAATCTGCAGATGACACTGGTCCAGTCACCTTCATAATTTGTAGATGACACTGTCCAAGCATACATTCACCTGATGACACTGACCACTTACCATTCCCTATCTTCTCTGCCATTTTAATACTGATCTGCTGGGATCCACCCACAAACTTTCTCTCCTAACAAAATAAAAAACCAAAACATATTTGTTAGATCAAAACACATTCTCAATTTTCAATGAACAACAAGCTTCCTTGTTTGAGACTGATATTTAAAATAGAATCGAGGGAATATTATTTAGATACTCTTTGGCAAATTATACTTATTAACACAACTGATGGAGTGACCAAGGTAGTGATAGTTCTAGGGACCTTCAATTCTGATTACTTGTCACTCTGGTTCAAGTGTTGATTTGCCAGATAAGAAATAATCAGTTACCAAATAACTTGTCTCAAGCAGGGAATCCTTGATTCTGACAAACATTAATAGTCACATCTTTGGTGCATGAAGTCCTTATTGTTCCACATATGATATTCATCTTGCCGATATTAAATTATCCAGATCTTGAAATTAAACATCACAAAAAGTTAGTTAATGACATTACAACATCCTTTTTTACAAAACATCCATATAATTTATTCATCATCATAAAAAATCAACTAAATAATATCAAGTTACAAACCGTATTCATGAAGAATAACATATCAAGCATATTCATTGCTGGTGATTATTTGAAATGAGATACTCAATAATCCATTATTATCCATAGGTGGTGTGATGATACAGTCAATCCACAATACAATCCACATCATCATACATCACATTGACACACAGTAGGCCTTAGCTCTCTCAGAGACTGGTTTCATAATCTGGCAGTCATTTCCAAATTAGCTTTAGACTTCTATCAATATGAGTGACTGAGTGAGTTGGGTTTAACGCAGCTTTTAACAATATTCCAGTTATATCACGGCATGTCAGCTTAATGTGGGAGGAAAGCCCGAAGTGATGCAGGTCTCAGCCGCTTACCACTTCGGTGAAACCTATGGTGCTGACAAACCTAGAAACATAATCGAGGCAAACCGGGATTCAAACCCACAATCATAGGTTTCTGGCCTGCCAAAGGGACCCAACTCTGCACAGCGAATCGTGACGCCTTAGACGACTGGAAAGTTCGCAAAGGGAATCGGTTACCAGATGAAACTGATCATACAAAGTGAGTTTCCAGAGGAGTGGAAGAGTTCATGTCATCACTCAGTGATTGATGCAATCGGCCTTAGTCCAACAACTCCTTAAATTTACTGCTTGAGCTAGCTGCAATAATAATATAGTAAAGCAGTCAAAAAGTTTCAAATAGTTCATTATAAACATCGGTATGTTACAGCCGAGTTCATTACAGCCAAGTTCTAATGTACTTACCCAAAAGCTGACTAACCAAATCACAGAATGATTACATGATAGTAGAAAGACTTCATATTTAAGATCTACTGAGTTTCCTAGGTTCATAGAATACCCATGCATGCTCTACCAACTGTTGATGGGATTCTTGTGCCTTCACTGTATCATCACACCTTGACATATAAACACTGAATAACATGAAGGGCAAGACGGTGTTGAGCAAGACACATGAAGCATGCAGAGCAAAGCAAGTTAACAGACACATAAAACCTTCAACGTTCAGACACAAACGTTTGACAATATCGGCTCCTCTTTAAACTGAGAAACCCCTGCAGTGTGTGGGAGGGAGCTGAGCTGTGGATTAGATGACTACTATGTTTGTTTATTTGTTTGTTTGTTTGTTGTTTAACGCCACACTCAACAATCGTTCGAGCTATATGACGGCAGTCTGTAAATAATCGAGTCTGAACCAGACAATCCAGTGATTGACATCATGAGCATTGATCCATGCAATTGGGATCAATGACAAGCATCAACCAAGTCAGAGAGCCTGACCACCCGATCCCTTTAGTCGCCTCTTACGACAAGCATAGTCGCCTTTAATGGCAAGCATGGTTGCTCCTATTCTAACCCGGATCTTCACAGGTCTGACTGCTGTTGGTATTTATAGTCCTTACAAAGGGACATTACTCCATGGGCATGGGCACATATCAAGTCTTGGTCTAGACATTTTAATTTGTGCCCTGTGGCATTCAGAAGCTCTGTTTTGGTGAATATACCTATGATTTCATGCATACGCACATGCACATGCACACGCACACGGACATGCACGAGCGCACGCATGCACACACAGTAATCTACTTATAACGAACTGACCGATATAACAAACATATTTTTAGTCGCGGCCATTTGTGCCATATATGCTGAATATATGCTTGTAATGAACAATCGTTATTACGAACTTAAATACGTGGTCCCTTGAGTTCATTATAACCGCAGTCTACTGTATCTACAAAGGTACACATTAGTGGCCGTATAAAATATTTTACATACAAATGTATGCATTGTTTCTAATGTACATTAGCATCATGCCAGGAGGTATATTTACATGCATAATTTGGGTCATATAAACACAGCAATCACAGATATGTGATCCAATATATGTTCACCATTAGATAACTGTCAATGGAACCAGCCAAGGAAATCAACTTTGAAGTGGTATTACAACTCTTGAAATACACTTCATCACCTACCCACACCCAAAACTTTCATAGTTAACCGCTGCAGAATTATCTACACTAAGCCCATCTTGCAATCCAATGTACATTTTAGGTAACTTTAATGACAAACAAAGGGTATCACAGGAAAAGTTACATACAGTTTTGGATACAGTTTACTCAAGTTGTTACTGATTAGAAGGATCAATTCTAGTTTTTGAAGCATCATTTTTTTTTTGTGATAAACATTTTTTCCATGTCAGACTTGTAGCAATCACAAGTCAATAGTTTGTAGTTTGCAACTTTTAAAAATCTGAATTTCAATAACTCTACCACAGAATTCTCCAGTTCATGCCCCATTTAGTCGTATCTACCAATCAATAAATGTTGTTTTATGCAACCATCAGCTATATTTTATCACGGTCACATGTTTTGTGTGTTTGATCATTGTTTAACGCCACACTCATAATATTCCAGCAGTATGACGGCGGTATGTAAATAATTAAGTCTGGACCAGACAATCCAGTGATGGGTATCATGAGCATCGGTCCATGCAATTTGGATACGATGGCATGCATCAACCAAGTCAGCAAGCCTGACCACCTGATCCTGTTAGTTGCCTCTGACGACAACGTAGTCGCCCATGGCCAGATGTAAATAATCGGGTGAGGGCCAGACAAGCCAGTGATGGACAACATCATCAGTGATAAACCACCTACTGTCAGCAAGGTGACACTCAAGAGTGAGTGAGTGAGTGAGTGAGTGAGTGAGTGAGTGAGTGAGTGAGTGAGTGAGTGAGTGAGTGAGTGAGTGAGTGAGTGAGTGAGTGAGTGAGTGAGAGTTTGATGGTACGCGCTTTTAGCAATATTCCAGCAATATCACGGCGGGGGATACCAGAAATGGGATTCACACACTGTACCCATGTCGGGAATCGAACCCGGGTCTTCGGTGTGATGAACGAATGCTTTAACCACTTGGCTCCCCGACCGCCCCGACACTCAATATGGCCACCTGGTTCTCCTCTCTGGCAGCTCTTCTGACACCCATGACATGTTTGGGACTTACTGTGCCCTCATACCAAGGAGGCATCTAACCAGACAGCAAGGGTCCCTAACATGTGTCCACCTCTTCTGACACCCATGACATGTTTGGGACCTACTGTGCCCTCATACCAAGGAGGCATCTAACCAGACAGCAAGGGTCCCTAACATGTGTCCACCTCTTCTGACACCCATGACATGTTTGGGACTTACTGTGCCCTCATACCAAGGAGGCATCTAACCAGACAGCAAGGGTCCCTAACATGTGTCCACCTCTTCTGACACCCATGACATGTTTGGGACCTACTGTGCCCTCATACCAAGGAGGCATCTAACCAGACAGCAAGGGTCCCTAACATGTGTCCACCTCTTCTGACACCCATGACATGTTTGGGACTTACTGTGCCCTCATACCAAGGAGGCATCTAACCAGACAGCAAGGGTCCCTAACATGTGTCCACCTCTTCTGACACCCATGACATGTTTGGGACCTACTGTGCCCTCATACCAAGGAGGCATCTAACCAGACAGCAAGGGTCCCCAACATGTGTCCACCTCTGATGCAGAATCCTAAGTTAGCTCAGAAGCAGGCGGACAAACAAAAGGATGTCTAGACAAAAGTTTGTTGAAATTAGCAGTGAAACATATATTCATTATCATATTTAGAATATACATTCATTTTCAGATCAAATTTCAAAAAGTCTTGCGACAAAAATTTTTTCATATCTCCGACATCTGAAGTTCCTTGTGTCCAGCTGTTGTAAACTGGGCACCTTTTTAAATAGTACAGTTCTTTATATGAAGCCAAAAGCAAAACATAAGTCATTTTCATTATCAAAGAGTTTAAAAACCAAATGCTCCACTGTATTCCGGGGAAGAAGGATTTCATGTGCTACAGCTTTGTCACAGCCTCTCCTTTACCGGGATTTTCCAATAATAAGCACCCCATAAATAAAGTACATGGGCTACAGATTTTGAAACAATTTCCTAATTGTAACCAGCTGGTAACAATCGCAATCTATAAATCTGTTAATCAAGAGTGGTCTCCCTTTCAAAACATCATGTGACCAAACAGACACAACTGCATCAAGTTTTTAAATGGTAAACATTCAAATTTATGCTGTGGAATATCAGCTGGTAGGAGATACAACATGTTAATCCATTTTGTTTAAAGTATATCAGATGTTATCAACCCTTTAGAAATGTTCTTGAAATCTTAATGTTTCTTCGTATTCATGATATTCTTTGAAAAAGAATCTTTGAAAAAAATATGTCATCCCTGAGCATGCAAATTTAACTTAATTCAGTTACATTTCTATCAGAATAACTTGTCCCAACTAGAAGCCCATATTTCTGAATAATTGCTATTTGGGGCCAAGTTTCTGTTTCAGAATCCATATTTTCTGTAACAGAAGCCCTGGGCTTATTATCGGAAAACCCTGGTAAGTATGAAAGGATCTCTACAAAAGTGTCAAGAGCATCCACGGCATGAAACACCTCCCTTATGGTAAAATGACAAGCATCTGC